AATCATGTTTTAAGAAAGTACTTTTCAAGAAAGAGGGAACTCGGATAGGCGAAACCTTTAGGAGTTTCTGGTACTGGAATATGAAGAATTAAATCGCTGAATGCACACGTATTTTTTATATTCACCGCCATTGGCAATGGAAAGTTTCCTAGAAAAGCTATAGTTAGGTCGACTACCTCAGAAACTAGTTTCTGGATATCTGACTTACATTATATATTTTGATTAAAAAGATGAAACTCCGTTGATGTTACTCTTAACATACAAACAGTGCAAACGCTGCCGATCGCAATTTTTTTAATTTTTCGTGAAATTCATTCGAGATGGCCCTGCTTCTCATGATTCTTCTCCACTGTTTGGTAGTTCATCTCTGCGTTTTGAAAGTTCGCTGTTCAACTTGGCGTCGAATAATCATTTTTGCTTCGTGTTTAATAATCCTAGACATTTCACACATTTCTTCTTAAAAAGTAAAATGCAAAGGAGAGTCATGGCGATCTCATTTGAATATTTAGCACGGAAACTGGATGCTGCATATCGTAATATTGGGTTTTTGTTTATGTTTTAATAGGTGAAAGTTCTCCAATTTGCAATGTCTTTTCGAAATTCCAAATTATGAGAGTTAGTTACGAGCTCAAATTATGGTTTTTGAAAGGTGTCGATTTATTCTTACGTCTACATAACATCCTCCCCCCCCCCCCCTAATCAATAGTTCCTTTTAACATTATTCACCATGCTTTCTCAGCACACATCGACATCGGCCTAAGAACAAGTCAGCTATGTCCTATTGGCACGTATAGAAAACATAGACTACGTATTGAGATGTGTTTTATCTTTTTCATCATTTATTTTACATTCTCCTATATTACTAGCCTGTTATTTTAAAATATGATACATTCCTTATAAACGACCGTTAAATAACTCACCAATTAAGCGTCGTTTTTAGATTTCCCAACTTCAATGAACCATTCTTCGAAATGTTTTCCAACCAATGTCAACCGTAGCTCAATGTTTTTTTCACGTTTTCTTAATTCGTTACTTCAGTCTTTGCAAACAATTCGCAGCATTATTCTTCTTCTTTTGCCGCCCCTTTGTCAAATCTCACCAATTGTAAAGAAAAAAAAACCCTTACTGAGAACATTTATTTTATGCAAGCGGCACTTCCTCTTCTTTGAACGACTTTATTTTGCAAAATAAAGCCAAATAACCCTGAAGCAAACATCATTTCTGTTTAAAGTAATGTTGATATTATCATTGTTCAAATATAATTAATTCTTTTGAATGACATTTTAGATGTTTGTACATGTTTGAAGCCGAGTTGATCTGACAAACGATTCTCATTGTAAGTTTAATCTTGATCACTACCCAGTGTCCCTTTATATTATCGTTCCGGCAAAATTTTTCATCTAGAGCTGGCTTTGTTTTGAGCCTCGAGTTTCTACGTAAATTGTGTCTAGCAGGTACTGTAGTTTATACATGCGAATTAAGAGTTCAACAATATGAAACTTCAGTGCTTGGAGCAAAAAATTGGGAAAGCTCTGGATTTTTCAAAAAGCTCAGAACACAGAAATTTTGTGACAATCCATCAATATGATTGGTTGCTGTGCATGAAAATTTGTTACTTCCCTCATCGAAGAACAGATGTGAGATGGAAGCCAATCTCTTGACATACACAGCACTAGTGTTTAAAAAGGAGATTCCAACAAATTTCTGTTGGAGAATTCTTCCTAGCATGAAAATATTAGATATAGGACCAAAGATGTTAAATTTAATGAAAAACTGAAGTACTCAGACAACTTTTCCACTTGCCCGGGTTAAAACAAAAACGGAGAAAACTGCCCGCTTTTGCTTTGCGTTCCAACTAACCCATTGGGTAAGGGTGTTGACTTGGGGGTACTTGTTTCAAGAAAGGATACATATTAACCCGTTTTTATTTCAGCCAACGTTAGTGGAAAGGTTTAACGTCGACCTTAGTTGTAAGAAAATGAATGCATAGCAATTGACAAGCGTTAAATGACTGTTTCCAGTAGCGATGCGACCAACAGCCCCTAGTATAGTCTCTCTGATCGTAGAACAATAATAGAATCTATTTATTGTTGTTTTTTGGTGCAAAATTTCATTTTGAAATCTATTGTTTCATTGACCTTCTCCTTTTTGAGTTTGGCATCGTAACAGTAAAATCGTTAGAGTGAAAAACAGAATTTGACTGTTTCTCCAAAGCACATATCTATATCCAGCGCCTTTTATCCTTTCTTTATGGCTTATAGAACTTGTCTTCCTTCTTTGATGAAATATTCGGAAAGTAGCTCTCAAAGTGTTGCAAGGCATTAGTCAGGCGATAAAGGATCGAATTGGTCAAGATTATTGGCTTCAATTAGTGAATATTTCTTTTTGGTACAAAACGTTTGGTTTTAACGTTTTATTTATTTATTTCGAATGTATTGTTCTCTATCATACCTAGAGCATCTTTACACATTACGGGATATTTGATGGTCAAAGGAAAAGAAAGACAACACGGGTAATATGGGCATATTACATAGTCGAATCAAAACGGTTTTGAAAAACCAACCCCCCTCAATTATTACATAGTAAGCTATAACAATGACCTTAATTTTTTGTGTTAATCCTCCCTCCCTAACTTTCATTACTCAATATATGAAAGTTTTCTTTCCGTATAGCCGGAAAAGAATGGATCAGCTATTGCCCGGTCAAATGACGCATATTTTGCTTTAGAAAATTTTTCAGAAATATATCAAGTTGTGATATTAAAAAAAAGATTTTCTCGGATAAAAAACGTGATCCTTGCATCCCCTATCCATAGCAGTTCTTTTTAGTAATAAGCAAATAAACAAAATTGGTTATTCCTCAGTCATGGGTTTTATGCACAGAATTAGTCGTTAGCCAGTTGGCAAAACAATCTGTCAGTCAGGTAGGCGAATCTCTTCTGCACTCTCAAGCTAGCAAGCCGACCTTCGCTCGACTTTCCCCACCCAACTTTTCAGCGCTGGCTTAGTGCTTGTCGTATAGGACTCGGAATTAATGTGTAGAGACTTAGATGATTTATGTAAGTTTTTTTGCAAATGAATCGAACCGACGTCCTAATTTTTTTGTATAATTCAATTAATTCAATTACTGCAGGGACGCCTGCTAGAGATTAGGGCAGGAGGAGCAGTGTTGGTGTTGAGAAATCGTAGAATTTTTCCACTAACATAATCGAATATTCGTGGGGTTGGGATGGGTTTTGGTACATTATCAAATATTGCCATGGGCATGTTCCACCAATACAGTTTTGAAACTATTCTCTATTCTCTATTTTCTATGTCATTATTCCCAACGTTTGGTTTTATGAAATTTAAATGATAATGGTGATTTTTAAATGGTTGGAAAATTTTGATTTCTAGGTCTAAATAATCTAAACCTAAATTAAGTCTAAATAATCCGTGGTTGCAGAATCATTGAGAGTGAAGAGGCAAATGTTAATCACAATAAGCAAAAGCAAATCAAATGATTGTTTATTCCAGCGTTTTTATATACTTAAAGGCACAAAATAGGAGTAACATGAAAAATACTCATTCTGACTATGGGCAAAAAAGTCAGATTTTGTATGAGACGCCATTGGTTTTTTAAAGGACAAGTGACACGCTTTTGGCGCCAAATTTTTTTTTTCTTTTAACTTAAAGCAAAATGCTGTATGAGAGTGTTGTTGAAATATTTTTCCTTTCTGATTTCATTTTCCTACTAAAAAACCCTTTTAAAATTATGGCGGGAAATGAATCACGTGACACCGTGACGTAGATTGTGATAATTTGCTCTTGCTGCTACTGGTATACAGTGCAATATTAATGTTTACAACACGCTTCTAAACGAATTTAGTGCGTCTGGACCTGTCGCGTCGTGTTTTGTAGACTCTCTAATAATGACAGGAAAATTCCGAGTTATCACAATGTACGTCATAGGGTCACGTGATATAAAGCAAAATCGCGCCTCCTGCGCCCCCTGATTAGAATTTTTTGTTCTAAACCAGGAAAAACTTACTTCTAAACTATGATCTATAAGTTAATGAAAAGAAAAGATAGGGTGAAAAGTGTGTCACTTGTCCTTTAAAGTTTGTTATCGTCTTCCGAAAAATAACTGTCCCTAGTCATTCTTTCCTGAAAGTTTCCGATGTTCGGCTGTCCTGGCTCTTAAGAAACCTTTTTAATCTGTTTTATTCTCTCATTTTCTACACGACCTGAGCGTGGCATGATTTTCCTTTAAAACGGCAACAAGTTTGCAAGCTGAATGTATTTTCTCCTGTCCTCAGTTGGCAAGACTGCCCAGCAGCTTTTCAGGTCTAATGAGGTTTCAATAGTCTATTATCACAGAAGCCATATTCTATCAACTCCTATATTAGACACAGTCTCTTTGAAAAGGTAATAGTCAGGAACAAAACAAAACAGCGACGAGAATCCAATGTTATGTTTACATAATCTTATGTATAGTTATAATTTTTCGATTAAAGATTCACAGAATCCGACGCTATTTTGAAAAATTAACAATTTCCCGTGTCAAAGATCAACAGTATAATCTTTTCATAGAAGTCGTATATTCAAGGCACTTCTTGCCCCCTCTGCCCCTTCTGGCGGAGGACAGGAGGGACAGCAGCCCCCAGCCCCCAGGGTAGGCGCCCCTGATTACTACAGACATATAACATAATTATACTCCGGAAAAAATTGCTACTTCACAATTCAGTTACGATGAATGACTACACTTGGGATCAAGCAAAAGGAGTATTATTGAGAATTTTCAGGTTTTCCATGAATGAATTTCATGATCCTTGGTACGCGAGCTTAGACAATTCATTCAAGCAATTTAACAAATGGCGGATCTTCTCATTGTTCAAACGAAAAGACTTCACACTCGTGGACTTAACTCCTTCGTTTGTCGCCTTTCTTCTTGAAAGAAGTGAATTTGCGCTTGCGCACAAGTACTAATTTCATCCCATCTTCTAGCCAGTTGAGCGTTTATATGTGAAAAATTTGATGCCAACAGGTGAGGTCCGGCAGGCTGAGAACAGGATCTCACTTGCCCCGGATAAATCGTTTCCCATGTAAACATAAGATCGAAATTACAAAGCTTTGTATAGGAAGGTTGGATCTCACCTCAGGGCCTATTTTAAGAAATTTTTAATACTGCACAATTATAACTACATTTTTTATAGGAAATTTTGTTGTTGCAATTTTTGGAAATTTCTAGTCATTTCGTTTTGTTTCTTTTCATAAGAGAGTCTTTCCGATGGTCATACGAGATTTGCATTACATGACCTCTATATCGAACTGACGGGGAAAATTCACATTTTGTGAACAAAGCGAGAATCTGGGATAGCGGCAATTAGACATTTTCACAAATCCCAAAATTGAATACTGCACATTTTCGAAATCAATACTGCACATTTTTAAATTAATACTGCACAAAGTGTGTAATACTGCACACTAAAATAGGCCCTGTCTCACCTCCTAGCCCATAGGCTGGAAGGTGGGATAATTTTGCTTATATAAACAGGCCCTTAAATCATATTTTAGCTGCCTTTCCTCGAGTTGCGGCAAGGCCCTTAGCAATTTGAAGAAGAAGAGTCTTCGGTACCACCTCCTGTTAGAAAGCGATTTCTAGCCTAGTTCGCTATAAATTTTCTCACGTGATATGCCCTTCCACATTCTGGTTATAGCTAAGGCACCATAATATTGCATAGATTCAAGGCGATTCATAACGCAGTTATAATTATCGTTAAGAGTATATGAATTATTGGAAGGTGGTAGAGATGATAAATAACATCGCAGTATTGAAAATGAGGTCAGACATGTAACTTGTAATTTTGAGCTGAGGAGGGACGAGGCAGGTACTTTGAAAAGTACTTGATCATCCCAATAGCTCTGTTTGCTTTTGTAAGATTATCCTTTCAATGTGTTGAGAACGATAATCATCTCTACAGGATTAGACCGAGATGCTTATGTGCATCAACAGTAGTTACTGGTGACTCTTAAAACTGAATTGGAGGATGATTTTTAACGTCATAATAAGGAGTCATCTTCCATTGGAATACCCAATTTTTTAACAAATGAAGATCGTGATTAAGGTCGTTCGGAATAGAGTGAAGATCGGTGAAAACAAAGAACAGTTATGTATCATCGGCAGGAGTTCGAAACTTTGTCTTCAAACCTTCCGGAAGGTCATTAGTATAAACGGACCCAAGAAAAGCAGGATACCAATGATGGATCCTTGAGGCACTTCAGCATCTGTATTTTTTCGAATAAGAGCATTTATCATTGATAACTATTCTTTGCTGTCAATCGCTGTAAAAACAGATAATGACATTAAGTATGTTTCCCTTAATTCAACACCTACGACGCTAAAAAATCAAGCCTGAATGCCAGACCCGTCAAACGCTTTGGATCTATCAAGATAAACTGATCTCACGTCTAGGGAAGGATTACAGTCAAAGGCGCTGTATATTTCATGAGACATAGCAAGCAGCTGATTGATTGTTGAGTCACTGTGAGAGGTGTGACTGTGGTTTGAATAGTCATACACAGCAAATCAAATTGAGGCAGATCACTTTCTTGTTATTGATTGTTTGCAGTTTTAGAAATATTCCAAATGGCAGTACATGTTCGGCCTTCTATATAATTCAAGCCAAAGGTTTACCAACTTTTATTGAAGCAGTACTTGTAACAATGGGCCACTCTGCTTTACTACAACCAGCAGCTCACTCTATGTCCCTATAACTATCATGGTATTTTTTCTAAGGATAATTATTCTAGAAGCTAATTTGTTTCCCCTATTTACCATCAGATGGCAGTAAATTTGATTGTTTTATAATGGGATTGGGCAAGGACAGTTTGCTCCGATCCTTTTGATTGATTGGCCGGTTTTCCCCATTTCTAAGCACTAAGTATCCGATCTTGTAGATGCACCGATTCATATCAAATAGACAGTTTTCCTTGTACCTTATACTTTTGAGCACTGGTTGCAGACCAAAGTGTCAGCTGCAAGTTACTTTCAGCTTAAACAGTAGGCTAGTCAATATACTTTAGCAATACTTTGACGTGTCTTGAAATTCGAGGCCGAACTCAATGCATAAATTAGGAATAGGTAATTGTAATTTATTTTGGCTTAAACGAGGCAGTGCATGAGCAGGAATGGTTTTCAATTGAAAATGACCAAGATACGACATGTTAGGAGCGGCGTCTGATTCCATGTTGCGCTACAGTCCCATTGCACTGTATTCGGTTCGGCGCATGAGAAGAGCGACGTTTAAGTTAGGCCTAAGTTATTCAAACGTAACTAATCTCTCTCTCGCCAAAACTGAAGAACAACCCCAGTATACACAGTAAAAACTTGTGAGTTATTTTCTTCACATTTTCACAAGACAAGCAATGCTGACTGCAGTTCTATAATTATCAGGAAACGTTTCTTTTTGACTATTTAACGGTTAGAAAAATTGCTTGTTTCAAATTGAAATTATCCTGTTATCAGATGCGGCTAATCAGCTTCTAACATTATTGAGCAAAAGACAATAGTTGTTGAATTTTGTGTTTTATGCATGTACCCGCTCCCCTGGCTGTAAATAACCCCTAGGTAGCTTGTATCGCCAAACTCACGAAAGCAACTTTAAAGCGGGGACATCAGGTGGCTTCAAGGAGCTCGCACACGGTTGGTTCAATTAGCAAAAAGAGAGTCTTAATAGCTGATTATGCAATGTTATAACATATACTAAATAATTAGACATAGGGTCTTAGGATACATGATACTGTCTCCATTTTTCGCATCTTCGAAACAATTTTAAATAAGTCTTAAGAAAAGAGAAAAATTGCCTTTTTATGTTAAAAGTCTTTGCTAAAAACTATCTTCACTAAATATTTGTTTTAAATCCTGATTTTGCGCTAACCTTAAGCACTTTTGTGGTTTTGCTGCTTGGAGTTTACTGCGTGTAGTTTTTTAAAAATAGATGTGCTAAAAGTACGATTTATAGCCTAATATAGAATCGATTATGTAGCTTAATATAGAATAGATTATGTATGACATATGTTCCTAAAAACTTTTTCCGTGAAAAGTAGTGCATTGAAACATAGTTCAGATTAATTATCTTCCCTCTCTACAGTTTCGCCTAGGCCAAACTTGGCTTTCCTTGAACACCTGAGACAAAGCTATCCATTTTTGTACTGCTCTTTTGAAGCGAGTCTCGCATGATACCCTGGCATCTTGTCTGATGCACTCTCCCGATCCAGGGAATTTTCAGGCACGTACGTCGTATATATCTGTTGACTTCTTTGTGCATCTTTGCATAAACGAGTGGATTAAAGCAACTGTTCATTGCACTAATACATGGCAGAATGAGATAGAGTTTCGATAAAAAAGTGTTCTTCCGAATGACATGCAGCTCAAATAAAAATAGATAAGAAAATGTGATCTGGTAGATGGCGAAGGGCATTGTAAACACGAAGAACAGCGCTATTATTATCACAAACATCCTGACAACGCGCTTGTTTTCTCTCCGTATTTGCAGCTGCATCACGTGCGTTTCGGAATGGTGCTCTTCGCTGCTCCTAAGTTGAACAGCAGTGTGGAAATACAGGGTCGATAATACTGCGCCCGGCAATAACCACCCTGCTACAATGAAGAATGAAGCATATGCGATTTGTTCTGCCGGGGGGTATAAGTCGACAGTGCATTGTTGAATGTCATGGTACCGTATCTGCTCAGCTAATGGAATATTGACAGCGAGAGCGAATATCCAGACTGAGGCTATGAGGATTGCCTTGGCTTTTCTTGAGAGGCGTGCACTGAAAGGTCTTGAGATTATCCTGGAAGAAAAGTATTTCCAGTTAGATTAGATTAGTCGGGAAAACATCACGGCCCCACGGCCCAGCGGCCCAACGGCCCAACGGCCCAACGGCCCAACGGCCAGAGAAAGTATAATGTACTGTGTATAATGTATTTATTTAAATTATGACACGCTTTTGTTACTAATTGATTTGTCTAAAAAATATCTATAGTTAAGAACAAGCTGAAAAATTCTTAAAATGTTTTGGAAAAACAGAGTTGCGAGGAGAAGAGAAATGTTGAGTGCCCCCCCCCCCAATTTTCTGACCACGCCCATTTTAAAACCAATTATAAACGAGGAAGGTTTTATAGCATTTTAATCTTGGCCGCAGGAAGGTTGGTCATTTTTCTGGACTTTAGGTGTAACTAGACATCAAAGCATTCTATTTAGAGACGCGCTTTCAGAACCGCATAGTTAAAAAATGGATCTGATGTCCATCTTTCTATTTAGAATCATTGCATATATATGAAGCTTCATTTTTCCACCATCATTTCTGAACCGTTTCACATAACCACCACATTTATAACTGCAAAGATTAAAGCCGCTCTTTAGAGAGTCCTTCTTCTTCTTTATCGTTAGCATTATGATCATCATCAAGCTTTTCTGCGATAATTAATCTCACGCTGGTGTTGGGTCGGTCCAGTGAATTGGACTGTCTTGTGGTTCTCATAGTTTTATTTCCATGTACTTTTTGATAACTTTCTATTTCCTAGAACTGTTGAATTATGTCCAGCCTTTTATTCATTCTAATAACTCCCTATTCCATAACCGTGAAGTTACAACTCTTTTTGTTTAAAGCTGTTGCACAATGTCCTGTTGCACGCTAACACCTTTAATATGTCCCCTCTCTATACATTTTACTCTCTGCTTTTCCAGAACCGTGCTATTCAAGAGCTGTTTGTTTAGAACAATGACAACGGAAAGCTTTTAATATAGAGCCGTAAAATTTAGAGCATATTTTGAACCGTTGAATTCAGAAATTCTTACTTGTGGTACTATGTGCCTGTTTGGAGTTGCTCCTTTGCTTACCAGTTTAGTACAATTCCCATATAACCTTCTTGGTTAGATTAGAACTTGTATGTTAAGTCTTTACATTTAGAATTGTTTCAGGTACAACCGTTTTACAAAGGCCTTTTATATTTGCAACCGTTCTTTATGGGTTGTTTTCATTGATTACAAGCAATACTCAAAAAGCAATATTTATGATGCAATATTTGTGGCTTACACACAGAATGCTATCAGAACCGAGAAACTGAATTTGTTCTTTACTGAGGAGAACTGTAATCATCAAACTTTAGCAAGATTCCTTTGAATAGATAATGCCATTTTGTTAGCATCCATTCCAGAACAATATGTTCATCCCAAACGGGTAACAAATAAGAATTAATACATCAAGATTCGACATACTATAGAAACATACACATTTGCTCAGCTGAGCGGAGCGCCTAGGTGGGTTCTTGTTCTACTAGCATCTTGTCGTATTTTATGGTTTAGTTTGAAAAAAGGCCTTATAAAGTTGTCTACAATGTCCTCTTAGATCTTCAACCTTTGTTAGCTGATTTACTTAATTTTTGTGTTAATTGTAATGTTTATGTATCTTGCTGATATCTATACTAGAAAACCTAATGCACATTTATTCTTGGTAAAAGAACGTTTTAATCAACAAGGGTAAACTTGGTGTTTATGGAAGAGGCCGAAAATTCTACTTTACAGCCTACAGGTTCTTGTGAAAGTCCTGCGAAAAAATGAAGGATTTTTCTGTTCAAATAAAACTTTGCTCAAGCTCTTTTACAATACAATTCGTTTAGTTTTTGTCAACTATAAACCTGGAGTCAATACTTTGCAAGGGTCTATTTGCAAAAAATTGTTCCGCAATTTTCTGCAAGTTTCATAATAATAGTAATAATAATAATAATGAATCATGACCAGTATCTCCACAGGGTGCCTCTTCATCTGGTCGTTAAATACTATAAAATTTAAAAGCTACTAGTATAATATTCCTAAGAAGGTACAAGAAACAATGTTGAATCAACCTGAAAAGAAAAGTTTAAAATAGACTTATTGCAGTCTTTGCTTATTTTGCCTTCTTACGTTTCAGAGAAAGGCAAGTCTCTGTTCAAAAATCCTTTAAATTGTGTTGTATCGTGTATTGAATGAAACTGGAAACTCTTGGAACATACCTGTATCGTTCTGCCGAGATGACAACCAAGGCCCATGAAGATGTCACCAATGTTACGGGGTTCAGGACTGGCAGTAAATGACAGAGAAACTCGCCTAGATACCATGTGTGATTAGACAAGAGATCATGGGCAATGACAAGAGGAACTGTTGCTGATGCAAGCAGATCTGCAACTGCAAGACTGACAATGAATACATCACCATCGTTGTTTCTGTTAGCTCTGTGTTTAATTCCAAGCACGTGGATGACCATCATGTTTCCTGGCACACCTATTAGAAACACGACAATGCAGCAGAGCAACAGCGGTACCAAGATAGTGAGATCTTGCACTGCTTCCCTGTTACTTGAGACTGTGCTATTTGTCGCTTGAGTAGTCAAGTTCGAAAGCGATGCATATATTACAGAAGCTTTAGTTGGGATTGAAAACGTTGACATTCTGTGACCTGCTCTTGTAGCCTGCCTTTCTAAGTGGCTCCGACAAGGACAACTTGCACCGTATCTTGGACTTCCAAAGAGTGGATTCGCTGTCGACTTATGAGATTCGCCTGTTTGCCTTTAAAGTATCACTTGCAAAAGTTTTTATCTCCTTGTATGTGTTGTTGGTAGCAAAACAGTTCAGTTGTGATATATTCTACAGCGTTCGTCAGTGATGTACCCAATCACGTCCTGTGTGATAGCAAATACATTTGATCAGCCATGCAAATAAGGATTACTTTAGTATGTTAAATTTTTGTGATATTGCATCTCCAAATACCAAAGAGATTAAAATAGCTCTTCTTTTTTCATGTATATGTCATGCGAAAAACCTATATGATGTAAATACAAAACTGGGTTTTCGCCGATATCATAGCAACTAATCAAAGAAAATTTAAACACACCTCTTTCAAAGTTTCCGAATTTTCTGTTCAAACGAAAACGTCTTTGTTTAAAGCAGTCCACCTGTCAAAGAAAATTTGTTCTGCCACAAGAAAAGAGCAATGACGTTTTTTAACAATTTTCCTGCTTTTAGTGTCCACCGAAAGCCCTGTCTGTCCTCAACATTTCTCTGTTGCTGTTGCTACCTTAGCTCCATTCCGCAGGGAAACACAGAACCCTATTGAAAACTGCTCTTTTATAACCCCTTGCTAAAGCCTATTACACTAGTTTGCATTTAATTAAGAAAATGAAACTACAAACCATCCTTCTTACGAAAGCACTTCTGGTCTTTGCAATTACAGACAAATAAATGGAACAAGGCTTTCAAAAAAAGCAAACACGTTAGTCAAACAGAGTAAAAAAGAAAAACGAACATTTTCGACAATTAAAATTTTTTTTTCGCCTTTAAACAATGATTATTGTGCTTTCTGATTAATGTTTATATTGTTGACACGCCTTCGCTATAAGACCACACCTTTGGAACGTTTTTTTATGTAAGTCTAATTGAACAAATTCAAGCTGTAGCCCCTGTTCGGTTTATAACTCCAACCTTTATTTATTCTTTACAAATCGTGCGTTTTGTCCTGAAGATGTGAGAAGAATTCGTCTTTTTAGACTGTTGTTGATTTATCATCAATTTTTAATCAGTCAGATGTAAAATGTGCAGTTTCTTCAAATGAATCAAAATAAGTTCTGTATTCTTTCAAGAAGAACGGCTTTTTTCAAAAATAACTTTTGGTAACTTTCAAAGTTGGAACCGTCGTCATCTACAACCCTTGAACGTGTTATCATTTATCTAAGATCTGTGACCCTCTCGTGCAAATTGAACGAGAATTTTTTGGCTTTTCCATAGCAAATAGCGTTTTTCTTTTAAGCCAACAGCACTTCCAACACAGTGGAGGGATAGAGATAGGGCTGCTGTGGCAGGGGCCTGGGAACTCGACCTCCTTTCAAGTTTCAGAGAGATTTCAGGGGCTAATCCCCCCTTAACAAGCCAGTATATGTTTGGTTAGGCGAATTCCATTCTTGTGTGAAGGAAGGGTCGTATTTTTACGTTTGTCGTATTTTTACGGTGATTCTCAACTTCGAGCGTCTATATCTGTAAAACGAGTGAAGATTTTCGAGAAAAAAACTCACGACAGCTTCTAACTCTCGACTAACTACAAAATAATGCAAAAATCTCAGAAAAAAGTTTTGGGCTGGAGTGGCACTTCAAAGGATATGGTCCAAATAAATTCTTTGCGGCCCCATTTTACTCCGTTAATGGCAACAAACTGTCTTCTGTTCGATAAGTATGAAGACAGCCAGTCATGAAAAGCATTGGATGTACCGGCTTCGTGTCGAAGGCTTTCTTGAAGTCAACAAATAGAACTCCAACTTTGAATCCATCATCGATTGCTTTTTTCCAAGTTTCAGTGAGAAAAAGGAGTAATGATTCTGTAGAGATTTTTTTGAAATGCCCATTGGTTTGGATGTATTAATCCCGTGTCAGCAGTGTGATTATCGATCGAGTCACATACAAGATTTTCAAGAACTTCCGAGTAGCGTTCATTACTTCTGGAACCAGGAATATTTAGCTATTACTTAGAGTTTCACATTTTGTCCGATCATTAATTGATTTTTTTTAAACATATTACATAGGAAAAGGAAAACAATTCAATAAACGCCCCCTCTTTTAAACGCCCACTCGAATAGACACCCCCTAAAATATCAAAAAAATTAATAAACGCCCCGGGTATTTAATCGAGGCATTACGGTATTAGTCAAATAGCCTGTATGATGCCCCTTGTGCCTTTCTCGCGCTGAAAAAGGTAGTAGATCACCTTTTCCCTAAAGTCCGATAAAGCTATTGACCAATGATATAGAAGCGCCGAAGGCGCTATATGTCTAAATCACAGGTACGCTGTGAGGCAAATTTGTTTACTTCCGCCATTTTGAATAGTTGCAAAAAGGAACTTGCTCCATACTGAGCCCTTATTAATTTGGTAAAAGTAAAGATTGATTTCGTTCACTTCTCGTTCGAAAATCGATGTGAAATTTAGTGAGTGGCCTTATATTGCACTTAAATTTATGAATTGATGTTAATATTGGAAAAAGAAGCCGTCGTTTGCAAATTCCAAGCATTTACGGTCGCGGTGCTTGCTGTGGTGTTTTCTGTCTCGTTGAAATTCCAGAAAATAATGATTGATCTGTTTTAAAACGGATTCAGCAACAATTTTTAGCCACTCAATGCATTTTTTCTTAACACGTGATTTAGTTACTCTTTCTTTCTTAGTTTACAGAAACTGCTATGAAATAGGTCATAATTCAATGCTTGGATATTGATAAAAGAATTTAAATATAACAACCAATTTTTAATTTGATATAATTATTGATGTTCTTAGACTATTGCAAAACCACATTCGTTGCATTATGCGTCCCTCTCCTGTATTTTTAGGCCTATAAAATACCGTCGGGGTAAATTTTCACGACAAAGATTACTAACTTGGCCTCATCAAGAAGAGAGAAATTGAATTCATACCAAATTTCATTCCTACAAATTCAATTTGACAAACTAAATATTAAAAATTCACACCTTCCTACTCATGCCACATTAGGTTCTAAACGACAGACAGAAAATTCAAGAACTATATATTTAAAATGGTCTATATTTTTAGATAATAGACTCAAAAAATTCTTTCTAATTTATATGAAGATAAAAATTAGAATCACATACTTTTCAACTCATAAAAACACGACAGGCCACTGCTATATTCCCCCCGTAACTGCGTTAACTAAAAGAGGCATATTTTTTAAAATTATCTTCAAAAACCCCAAAAAATTGTTATGTGTTGTTGATTTATATCTTCTCTAACTACCTGCATCAAAAAAGGCACTGAAATAGTTGTGAGCCACGAGAAAATCATTCATTAAAACAAGCAATTTACCTGCCACTATTTAAAATGGCGGAAGTAAACAAATTTGCCTCACTCGGCAGTACTCAGCATGACCCGAGTTTGACAACTAGCGGCTTCGGCGCTTCTATACCTCCCTTGTTGCAGATCTGTCCTCTGCTCAATCACCTTTGTTCCCTGTTTATGTAGACTCGGGGTCGGGCACTCAGGCATTTTGGGTGGGTATGTCTCGATCACAAGTCACAAGATACATGAACAAGGTAATACAGCAAATTGAACGGAGAGTTGATCATGTATTTTATGTGAAAGTTAGGTATCTTTTGCTGTGATATTTCAATTAGCAAGGCTGTCTGTCAAAAACAACAATGTCTGGTAATAGTGGTGTGAAAATTCATGATTGGCCTAGCAGAAACTCGCTGTCCGATGGTAAAACTGTAACTAGGGAGAGTCCTGTAGAAGACGATTGTCTTGTAACAGAAACGACACCATTCATTGGCGGTGAAGACGTTGCGAATTCGCAGAATGAAAATTCTATTTCCTGTTTGATGGTGGCTCTAACAATTTTCGCAGCTCTTGGAGGATTTTTATTTGGTTATGACACAGGCGTCATATCAGGGGCATTGCTTCCTCTAACAAGGCAGTTTAACTTAGACGACCTCTGGAAAGAGCTTATAGTGAGTGCCACTGTTGGTGCTGCAATATTTGGTGCAGTTAGTGGTGGCTGGTTCAATGACAAATTTGGTAGAAAGTTGGTATTAATAGGCAGTTCACTTGTTTTTGGTATTGGTGCAGCAGTCATGGCCGCAGCTCCTGGGAAGGAGACACTGCTCATTGGCAGAATCATTGTTGGGGTAGCAATAGGTAAGGAAAATTTTTACCCAACTTAGAAAGGAAAACATTTTACCTTTATGTCCTGGGCAAACAGCAGGACTGAGCTGGTAGGATGGTCATTTCCTTTCCTCACTCTAGCCTCCCAGTGCAGCCACCACCAAGCGATGTATGGGTGCTTTTCTGTGAATATTCAAATTTGTCAGCAAATTAAGGCTGTCTCGCTCACTTTGTTGGCAAATGAGGCCTGTACACCACCCACTCGCACTGCTTACACCCTATTAGATTAAGAACAAATTAAGAACAATCCAACCTCAGATTTTCGAGAAAATTAAGAACAGTCAGCCTGAACTTAAATTTACTGGTTCTTATAATAAAAAGGATGTATTAATAAAAGATACAAAGTTAAAGATCCATGGACGATATAGTATGCTCATTCAATATAGTTTGTAGTAAGTTGCCCAGGATTCTGAGAGAACCAAAAAGATTTTCGAGCCCAGTGCCCTGATACTTTGGAATTGGTTTATGGTGCAGACCACTTTTTTAGGCTTTCAACAGGAATTTCATCAGGTTTAGGCCTAAATACTGACATATTGTTGTCCATCCAAATTTAAGCCATTAGCATTTAAAATGCAAGTTTCCAGCTTGGGACAACATACCTTCTGCTTAACAAAACTTCCTAGAGCTATAAATATTTCAGCTTTTCAAAAAATACAGGTTAGCAGTGCAATTCTAGAAAATAATCTTTGTTTGATATTAACACTTTTCACAGGACATCTTGTGTTATGACTGTGCAAGGTGGGTGTCAATGACTGTGCAAGGTGGGTGTCAGCAATTTCATGGCAACTGTGTGCATTGTAGCAAATTTTCCAAATCAAATGTCAGTAAAATTGATGTTAATTGACAGCATCTACTTTTACTCGATGAAATATAACCAAACAGCTTGTTAGGCAAGGTCAATTTTAATCCAAAGAATAAATGGCTAGGTCAGAATTTCAAGTATTTATCAAGAACACAAAAACCAAAACCAAAAACCATTCCCGAGAAAACAATTTCTCAAATTGACAAGCCTTTTTAAATTTATCCATGTTTTATTTCTTCCTCAAGCAAATATTTGGTAGCTCACTCAGCCGTGTTTTAGAAACCACACCAAACTTGTAAAATTACAAGAATATTAAGATAGCAATTAGGTACTCTGCTATACTGAAGGTCTCTTAACTAGGTTAGCATTGACTCTTGTTCAGTGGCCATTGGCTTACTTGGGAGGAGGAGCTGGCTTAAATTTCATAAAGCATCACTGTATCAGGAATTCTGTATTTTGCTCAACTTATGCCAATACTTTTCACATAATTTTTCCTGCATTGTCATTTTTTTAAAACTTTCAATTTTTCAATTTTGTTCCAGGCTATGCTTCAACAACTGTTCCAATGTATGTTGCAGAAACTGCACCTGCAGCTATAAGAGGAAAACTAATAACTGTTTATCAATTGTTTATAACATTTGGGCAGTTCGTGGCATCAGTTGTTGATGGTCTGTTTGCCAGTGATAAAGTACATGGTTGGAGGTAATGACCTTTAAGTGCCTCTAAAGTTTTAGAAATATAATTCCATTAGTTTTGAGAGCTTTCACACTGAAAGTTCTATAGATAATGAAAACACAACCTCTACAACACGCTTTCAACAACCAAGCACGTGCAAGGGCTTAATTAGTAATTTATTGGAAGAAATAAATGCTTTTAACCAGGGGTGGGCAACCTACGGCCTACAGGCCAGAATCTGGCCTGGGAAGAGATTTTTCATGGCCTGTGAGCTGAAAAATATCATACAGTTAAGTCCCGCTGTCTCTAACTTGCAAGGAAAGTGAAAATTGGTTCTACATAATGGGACCTAAGATATCTTTACTTGGGATATTTTTTATCAAAAAGGAGTCATCTGTTTTTAAATGTAGAATATGAACCAAAGAAAAAAGCTTATTTGTCTTCAAAGCTTTCTTAAACATGAAACTTAATATAAATAGTCTATTAAGGAAGTTTGCTTTATATTTTGGAGTGCTTCTTCATGGCAAAATGGCAAACATCAATGGTTTACTTTCTTTTGTTGGTGTCAAAGTAGTTGGTGTCAAAGTTGAATTCTGTATGCACAAAAATCCCTTCATCTTACAACTAGATACCAAATAACAAAATAAATACCCTAGTTAACACAATCTATATACAGTTAAAGCTAAGTTATATCTTATAGCAGCTGCTCTGCCAGGGAGTCGTGTTTTATGTTGTGTTCAGTTGGTATAATAACTTTTAAATTGCTTTTTGAATTCACAAAGCGTAGGGAGCTATCTGATATTGATGGAAATATTGTTCCAAGCCTTCACAGTCGAATAGTGGAAGCCTTTCTTGACATATTTAAGGTTATTTCTTGGGATTTGTAGGTCCCTGCAATTCCTTGCTCTGTAGTTGGAGTGCTGGGTCCTATGATGATATTTGTCCAAAAGGCTTTCGGGACATTGTCTGCTAATTGTTTTGTATTTCATAATTGATCGATTGAACTTTATAGGTTGCTCAACGGTCAGCCGGTTATAAGGCCAGTTGTCTTTTCATCTGGCCTTATCCAATAATCGAACATGCTCTGTCCTGCAGAAGTTGGAATGTATTCAATTTTGGTTTAGGAAGACACCCTCGAATAACATTAGCTATCTCAGGTGGCCTTCGATAACTGCATGCTACACATGGTCGAGCTGGGATTGTGAAATAAGATTTCGCAGTTTTTTAGCGACTTCAGACCGTCGTTAATCTTCCCCTTCATTTTGCTGAATTGGTCATCCCAGTTTAGCCCACCATAACCCCTAATGATTTGGTTCATTAATATCAATTTACAGTTAGATAATCTAATATTTTCATCAAAGCTAGGAATGATGGAAAGATTTGCTTGCTATCCGTTGTCATAAATTCATCCCGCTTAAGGACAGGACAGCAGAATCTTAGAGGGACTGGGCAAAAGTTAACAAAGGCAGCCAGAACAAATCTTACTGGGCGCACTCATGGCAGTTGAGCATCGATCATGGTTGTTCCTATTTTGTCATGTCTCAGTTGCTAGTGTGCTGGGGGCCTTTATTGGATAAATTGGTGTTTACGTATGTTATGCAAACGTTGATTGGTGAATATTTCTGTACTTTCTTCCCTGGATGATTTTTCTGTTTTCAATGTTGCACTTACGATTGAAACAGTCTTATCTGCAAATTTCATCATTACCTTTGGCCCGCAAAAGTTGGAAGAATCTGGCCCAGTCTCTAAAAAGGTTGCCTACCCCTGCTTTTGACCATTGAGTGCATTTTGAAACAGCACTTTTTATGAAGGGCCAGATCTATTGCAAGTACCATAATAAAGTTATCTTTTGACAGGGGACTACCAGGAAATTTCCCGGTATCCTGGTGGACCAGTCCGTCACTGTCACCAGCTTTCTGTAATTCCAGGAATACGAATCATGAGGTGTGTACAAATGGAAAAGAAGGACCAGGACACTGCTTGATAAGCGTAAGCTTCTATGTGTCCTAAAACCTACCTTCAGATGCTAGATGGAAACAAACACAACAACAACATATTCAACAAATGTGAAATTGATGCAACCTTGTTCATCTACTGTTACTTTTGATCTCTATCAGAATGCAATTTTTTGCTCTTGCAAGGAGTGCAAGGCCAAAAGTTCTTTAGTTTGTTTTTGCTTTTCTGTGCTGTGCTGTTCTGAAGTTTTCCAGTCCCAGAAGTTTAACTGTTGGGCTCAGACTGGCCATATGACAAGCCTTCCATCAGAAGGATTAAATCTATAAAACACGCAAGTTCTTTTTGCATGTTGACTATTCATTGTCATTTGTGCTTTATGTAGTATGATCACAACAATTTCTTGTCTATAACTCCCCCCCCCCACCCCCCAATACAAAACCATTCAGGCAAGGTACTGTTTAATCAATCAGTTTGTCTTGATTACCTATGTGACTGATGTAGTAATCCATATATGGTTGATATTTAACGATTTTGACTAGTAGCACAAAGTGGACACAGCAATGATAAGTTAAAATTTCATTTATTTCACTTATAGGTACATGCTTGGCATCGGAGGTATTCCTGCAATTGTTATGATGTTGGGAATGCTTTTTATGCCAGAAAGCCCAAGGTATCTTGTAAACAAAGGTATGTAGTGTTGCCTTTGATTTGTTTAAATTTGAATTGAAAAACTTGATTGATGTTGTTTTAAGCTGGATTGCTTATTGGTGAGTTCTATTATCATGAACAATTTCTCATTTTGTTTTTCAGTCTGACTAGTTTGACAAAAATTTTTCATTTGATTTTGATTTGATTTGATTTTCTTGTTAGAGTAATTTTCACTAATCAGTGATTTTGATTCAAAAGGGTCCAGATTTATTACCAGGATACTTCTAATGCCACTTTTTGTTACTAGTGATTTGAGAATCAAAGCATTTTAGAGAAGCAATACTGAAATGCCTTTTTGACATGAGAAGCAAGTTTTTTTGCACACCTACAGATGTTTGGTATAAGAGGCCCTAAACTTATGCTCTTGCTTTTAAGACCAAAGACCTTCAATCTTAACGTGCTAAATTGAACACTGTGCAAAAATTTTTGAAGAACTTTAGCTTAATTAAAAATTTGACAGCATTCATTGCAAAAATCTAAAAAATTTGATTTTTTGTCAGCCACTTTGGTACGAAACTAGTTTCAAGAATATGCAAGAAAAATTTTCTTAATGATTGCACCTTCCAATGGAATACTAGATCTATTCCAGAGAATGATGAAGTGGGCAATAACAAAATAAAATAAACAACTTCTTTATTTTATCTGGGTAATGGAAATGGACGATTCCATTTTGTTTCCGGTTGTACTGTGTTGCTTAGCAGGCAAAGGTTTCGTGTAAGGGCTCTGCCAGAAATGTTTTCGCATTAAACTGACCTGGATGCCAAACCTGCTACCTATTCGAGTTTTTCTTTACCATTCTCTGCCACCTTCATTACCCCAGTGCATTGTTTCAATACTACTTGTTGGTGAGTTTAGCAGTTTCAAAGACGTACAAAAAAGAAACTAAAACCACTGAAACTCTGTTCAGAAAATAAAAGAAGTGCAAGATAAGTTTTGAAAAAGTTAAAGACAGCTCATAAGCTATATATTCGGTAATTCACAGCCCGTGATAGAAGTGAGTTTTGCGCAAATTATTATGATCATTATGATATAGTCGATGCCGTATTGTATAGGCAGAGCTGTACATACTTATTGTGTATAGAAAAGGACCTGTCCTATACACAATATGTGCTGAGTCTAAGTTACTACTTCCAGTTTCATGCTTATTGCTATCATCAGGCAATTGTTCTGATTACCATAAACAGAACGTGAAAATCTGAATAGCAACTTAGAACCGTCTTGTTTTATACACTAAAGCTTATTAGTTTATGTTTTCAAATTAGCAAATTACAAGTGCCATGGCAAGCGTGAGAGAACTCTTTTGCTTGAACAAATGCAAAGGCCCATGTCTTTAGTCAATACCCAAGTACTGCTGAGTGCGACAGTTGGTACATCGAATGTTGAGTTGAGCTCTCCAGATGATACGATATTCTCGAAAGCCTAAAGAATCCATTTCAACACTTAAAGATTTAAGACTTTAGCTAGAAATGCTTTGATTTAAGTTGGCGCTGCTCTTATAACTCAAGGTTGCTCGTTCATATACATCGTTTTTGTACATCCTCGCCTCCAGGGAACTGAGTCGCGTATGCCTACAAAAAAAGACAAAAAAAATCGGATATGTCTTTTTTGAGCAGATGCCCCCACCTAGCAAGTTGCCACCTGAAGGGGCGATTAGATAGAGATTTGATATTTTTTTACTTCTCAACGGCACCCAGGCCAGAACCAAGGAAGAAATTCGATCACAAATTTAAGTCATAAAAGGCAAGTCACAGTATGTTTAGATGAATTTTTAACTCTAATGGAAGTACAGATGATTACCTAGGCGGGATCGATCGCTTCTAGTTTCTACAAATGTCATTGGTGACGACCTCATCCAGTGTGTGTTGAATACTTGCTTTACATGTAGAGCGATCACTGTGAAGATGTCACCGTGCACTGTTAGAATAAAAAAAATTCTAAAGCTTGACAATTCTGAAGCTTAGAAGTTAAAACTACTGCTCAACACAAATATATTTGACTGAACCTCTGTGATATGAGTTGTAGACCACTAGTTTGGTGAATGCAAACAACGATCGCCTTGCTGCTTGCAACAGCAACAGTTGTTGTTGACTTCTATGGGTAATTAAAGAAGAAATACCTGAAGTGCTACAATACCTGCCAAAAGTACACCAAGCAATTTGTGTTGCATTTCATGTTTTCTATTCCTTTTCAAGAAAGAATCACTATTTCAAGGGGGATGATTGATTTTGACCTTGGAAACTGACGTCAGTGTTCCAAGACTTTTCGCGGGGATTGTAGCTAGTAAGAGTCGTCTATTGTCAATGGGTGGAATGCAATGCTTTTCAGCCCATGCAAAATGCCTCTCTAAGCGAATGACCGAATGTTCAAAAAAGTTTTTCATCAAACTTGCTGAAGGCTTTGCAATGCACCCCTTATCAAATAGATTTCTACAAAGAGGTGCATTCCTGTTACCTTTATACCGAATATAACCTTTATTTTTTCATACCCAGTAAAAAAATTTGTTTATTGTGCTTTGTTTGTTTCATATTTTGTTTCATACTTTCGGCACACAGTCAGCTGCTCAACACAATGCGACCAAAATTTATTTTCTTATACACAGGAAAAGTATTGCAAGCAGAAAGAGTGTTATCCAGGCTTCGTGGAATCAAGGGAGTAAAAGAAGAATTGAATAGAATAATATTATCATGCCAGAAAGACGAATCACACGGTAAGGAACCTGCAATTACATTTTTAGCTGGCCCTCAGTACTGTAGTACTGCTCTCTGTCTATATATGTAGCCTTGTGATGTCTGTCTTGAACCATATTTATAATGACCTCAGGATTTATTTGCACACGAAAAACCTGTACGCAAAATGATGTGGAAAATTTCAGACAGAATGCGAAATTTTCAAAGCACTTCTTACTAAAAAGTAATTTGTTGGACTGGGACCGGAAAGTCAGATTTCCTTTCCTAAAGGAATCTTGAAATTAGTTTCACTAAGTCTTAAGATTAATCTTACTCATCATGAAGTTAGCCTTACCCGTTTTACCAGTCGTGAATTTGCCCGTGTTAGAGTAGCTTCTCTCATCTTGAAAATGGCATTTCCATTCGTCTTGGAGTTAGTATTACCAATCTTTGTCTTATTCATCTTGTATTTAGAGTTGCCTTTTTCAGATTTGTCTTTCTTGAATTTCCCGTTGAGATTAGAATTTCGCCTCTTGAAATATCCTTTCCTACCTTTCAACAAAGCCATGCCCATTTTTACGTCAGTTCAGTCTTACCTATCCTGATTTATCTTAATTTCTCTTGACGATCTTGAAAAAATCTTCCATTTCCGTTACATCTTTATTGTTTATTTCCTTGCAAAGCAAACTTAACCAAGTAAGCTGACGAAAGTTACAACTTGTCATGAATTTCATGCTATGGCTAGGGGTTATAGTTTAAAAAAAACCCAATGATTGTTCAATTTAAAGAAAAGTTGCCATATGACGACATTAAGCTTAAAATCAAGCAACTTAGAACCGTCCTTTTCTATACAACAAAATCGTGTACAAATCTGCCTATACGACATCGAGCACTTTATGACAGAGCGGTAAAACAGCACTTTTTATTAATTGATATCATTAATATTTAGTCTATTATATCTGCATATATGTTTTAAAGGCATGTTTTTTAAAATCAATCATGTGATGTGATGAGCTGAACATTACGAAGGGCCGTTTAAGAATGTTTAGATTTTTCTTTTTTGGTCATGAGAAAGTGTTGTAAGATTCTGCTTCGTTGTTTGTCAGCGAGTGACAACATATTCTCAAGCTTCAAAAGAGCAATGACAACCTCGTACACGCGAAGGGCCATCGTCGTAGGCTGTGGATTGCAGGCATTTCAACAGTTATGCGGAATAAATACAGTGATGTGAGTTACTTTCATTGATTGATAATTTAATTCATTACTTTTGATTAAGTTTGGTGAGGGCCAATTAGATCGTTGTGGAGGACCGGCAGATGCAGCGTCGGCTAAAGCCTTGTGACGATATACATTGAAGGCCTAATTATGTTTCGTCTAATAAATATGTATAGGTAAAGCAGGTGAGCGAAAAATCACTTGCATAGTTGCGAAACAGCGGGGTGTGTGATTGGATATTGGTAGAAAAAATTGAGAATGAATTTGGTTAAATGAAAATTGCTAATGGTTCAATTGAAACAAGAAACAACCATTGTATGTTAAAATAAATCAAACGAATAATGAAAAACCTTTCTTCGGAGCGCTAAAATGTCATAACTCACACAAGAGAGAAACGAAATGTTTCAACCGTGACAATTTCAGAAGATTCCTCCTGGCATTACTCCAAGTGTTTTAAACCACGTTCCCGTTCGATTTAAGTTATCTTTCTTTAACTATCCTTCTTTATATAGAAAGAAGGACAGCCAATTAATTGACAAAGATTAACCGTGGGTCGTTAGTTTACAAAAGAAACTTAATGGCCAATTTTAAAACAAACTCCGGGAGAACAAGGTGGGCGTTGAGGTGCGCATGCGCAATCACGTGCCATTCACGACAAAGCGTTCACGACCAAGCCATTCACGACCAATTCACGACAATCAGTGCGAATACTACCCAGTACGAGTGATGCTATGTGTGCCAGAAAGGCTCTTGAAAATGAAGAAATCCTTTGGATCTGGGTCCTATGGTATAGTCAGTCATTTCATGATAATGGCATTCCATTATTCTGACAATCTCTTTGTAGAATTTTTAGTCATTCTGGGATTCTTCTTGAAGACAGTGTAGTTGGAAAGTTGCAAATGTGGAAAACAGTGTGTAAAGCGACTTCTAGAGTTGGTGAACTCTTTTAGAGTGGTGAACATGATGTCAATCTAGCTTTAGATTAATTTCTTTTCTATGTGTTGTATCTAGACTGTTTAGAAAACTGATATATGATCAGCTTTAAAGTCACGTCGACAATAACAACTATTTGTACAAGCACCATGCGAGTTGTACACATTGTAGAGGCATCGTTTACTTAATGCACGAATGACTGGTACGTTAGTATGTATAAGAGTACATTCAACAACGGTATCATCTTCATTGATCATAACATGGTGCTCGTCAATGTCCACCTTTCAATGATTTTTTATGCCTTTAAACATGATTGTTTCCGTTCTTATTTCTAAACTGCAGCTGTTCTGCCAATTTATTGGCATTTCTTCTGACATTCAGCCTATAAAAATATAGCATCTCGAAGTTAGCGACACCATGATTACGTTGCGACGCGACGCGACGCAAAAAATTGATCGTATATGGAAGCCGTTCTTTGACTTTTACGTTTGTGAAACTTCTTTAGAATCGGGAAAAATACTTTAAGAATTAAAATCTGAATTTCGTTAGTTAAAAATCTACCTTGTTTGAGCTGCAAATGAATTTAGAAATCTCGATGATATAGAACGCCATTGTATCTATCGCGATTCTTTGCCCCACTTGTCTCATTGCATCGCAAACTCTGTGATGGTCTATTGGAGTTCCACAATGCTCATGACTGGACCTCTTCGATTTCCAATTTTTAGTTAATCGAGTAGCTTTGCATCGATAAAGCTAATACTACAATGTATACTGATAATACATCAATCTGATATTCATCAGGTAACCTAGGGGCTCTAAATCCCGTTGACATGCACAGTTTTTTATCTGTGAACGATTGGCTTGGCAAACAGTTACAAATAAACATCAATAAGACTTAGGACGATGGCTTACTCAGAACGAAGATAAGCAAGCAATCCTCATCTGCTAGTGCAAGTTTCGAAGTATGTAGTCTCTTAAACAAATTAGATATCTTGTCCTCGTGGCTAAAGAATATTTCAACTGGGATAACAAAACAATAAAGAAAAGGTTTTCGGGCTCTCGGTGGAACAAAGCACTTGAAATTGGCTTGTTTGAGGATATAGAAGAGCACAAGTTTTGCTATTTTTGCTAGAAGTTCTCTTGACCAAACCTATTGAAAGCTCTGTTGATTCAAAGGATAAGGATGGCTTACCATCGGAAAGTTAATCTGACGAGAAAGATCAGCAATGGCAAATAAATGCCTGAACAAGTTAGCTCCTAAGTGGGATCGAGGTCGAGTTTGAGATCGAGATTAGAATTCCTAAAGTCGATTATTCCCCTTTTCGTCATGTTTTTCTTCATGAGCTTTCCTGTCAGGTTTTTCACGTCTCTTGATATTGCTCCTTTTGCTTTCCAATTAATCATCCACATATCATAAAATTAAATGGCAAAGTAAGGCAATCATAGACATCGGAATCTGGTCCTTCCTCTCGATGTGACCACACCTCATGATTCCTACGCCTGGAATTACAGAGAGCTGGCGACTCCCCCTACTTTGAGTGAAAGTTTGGTCTTGTCAGGGACTCGAACCACGGACCCTTGGGTCTGTAGTCATGTACGTTCTACTTAACCAAATGCTTTGCAAATATTACAGCAATCAGGACAAACATTGATAGCAGCAATCAATCGTTGAAGTTCTTTATCCTGTATAAAAATTCATTTCATTATATTATTATTATTATTATTATTATTATTATTATTATTATTATTGCTAAACTGTTTTACAAGATGGTGCCAATGGGCAAATATGATCATCCGCGTAGACAAGTGCATCACCTTTGGAATTAGAAAGTTTGCAACTAGATCTGCACAGTTTCAGCCTAAACTCTTCATTAACAACGATCCTGTCCCTTTTGTGAAACATGGCGAATCTTTCAAATACCTGGGTCGTTTCTTCAATTATGATATGAAGAACCAGGAACACAAGGATCACTTGACCTCTTCTCTCCGTGAGATGCTCAAAGTTATCGATTCCTTGAAAATTCACCCGCGGAACAAAATTCTACTGTTTAATCAATACATCCTTTCAAAGCTCTCTTGGGATCTCACAGTTGCTAATCTCTCCAAAACGTGGGTTTGCGAAAACTTAGATCAGCTTGTCACAAAATTCGTTCGACAGTGGCTCGAGCTTCCAATATCTTCGACATTGAGTGGCATAGTTCTTTCTCGTAACCACTTTGGTCTTGAGCTTCTGCTTCCTTCCGTAAAGTTTCAACAGTGCCAGATTGTTCTTCGAAACTCACTCAAATCTTCGCCCAACGAAAACATCAAATCCCTATGGATGAACACCAATTATGGACCTAATATACAGTTCGACGCATACAAGAACACTAAGGCGGTCCTGAAATGTGTAAGGGATGAACACACTGAAAAGCTCAAAACTCAGTTAACATCTCAAGGCTTCATCATTTCATTCCTGCTTGAGCATTCCTATACAAAGTTAACCTCACTCTGGTCTGCAGCTCAAAGTAAACTTCCAAAAACATCTTCAACTTTACGATAAGGTATCTCAACAACACACTAGCCACAAGGAACAACCCCTGCTTCTCCAGATTGCTCATTCTGCCTTCAGCCTGAATCACTTCTTCATGTCGTAGCTGGATGTAACAAATACCTTGAGCAAGGGCGTTTTACTTGGAGGCACGACTCTGCCCTGTACTTCATTGCATCATCATTTCAATGTATCCGAGATGTATTCATATATGCTGACATTCCCGCTTATTTATCACCATGTATCATAACTGGCGATTCGTTCCGTCCCGACATGCTAATCAAAACTGCTTCTAACTGTCTGTATGTCATCGAATTAACTGTTGGGTTCGAGACTAACCTGGACAATAACGCTTCGCGTAAAGCTGAGAAGTACCGTTCCCTTCTAAAGGAACTACGCCCTAAGTTCAAAAAAGTAAACTTTGTTAATCTATCTATCAGCTGTCTCGATATCTTTGGTAACTCCTGTGATTCTTTCATCGATATGTGTGATGAACTAAAACTTGACTACCAACACCGTAATTTTATAATTAAAAAACTGTCAGCAATAATTATACGCACATCCTATTATATATTCTGTATGCGCAATAAGACTTGGACAAACCCTGAACTGCTCTCCTTCTAAAGATTCTTTGCACTCATATGATTTTATTTAAATGTTATAACTTTTGTAAAATTAGTAAACTTGTCACCAGGCTAGCCGATAGTAACTACCTGTAAAGTGAGGTTACTGTTGTAAGTAGAAGAATATAAAATAAAAAATGTTTTCATTATTATTATTATTACTATTATCACACAGAAAAACCTGAAAAAATGGAACTTGAGCCAGACCTCTGACTGTTCTTTCTGTTTTCTGCCAGAAACCCTCCTTCACGTTGTTGCTGGCTGCAAAACATATCTGGAATAAGGCCGATACACCTGGCGACATAACTCTATCCTAAACTTTCTAGCTACGTCACTAAAAGCTGTCAATGAATCTACCATCTACGCCGATATACCTGGCTTTCTTTCACCATCAATCATAACTGGAGAAAACCTTCGCCCTGATCTTCTCTTGAGGACTAACAACAATTACCTCTACATTTTAGAGCTAACTGTTGGCTTCGAATCAAATCTTAACACAAATGCTTCAAGAAAACACAGCGAGTATGCTCCTCTTTTATCTGGTTTACAGCGGCAGTTCAAATGTGTCTCCTTTGTTAATCTTTCTATGAGCTCTCTTGGCATCTTCGGCAATTCCTGCAATTCATTCTTCAAAATGTGTGACTCTCTCTCCATCGATCAGCAACAAAAACGGTATCTCATTTCTAAACTTTCCAAAATTGCCATCCGTACTACGTACTACATATTTGGTTGCAAAAATAAGCCACGAACTTTGGTTGTTTTTTTTCTCAGTTTTTCCTTTTTCCTTACGATTGTTATAGTTTTTCTTGTAAAACCAGGCTAGCCAATTGCAAATTATCTTGTAATAGTGAGATTTGTAATTGTAGTTTAAGTTGAATTGAAAATGAAATGTTTCCATTATTAGCTCTCAATGTTTCCCAGCCTTCTGAAAGAAATTTATGACTTGCCTCTTTATCCCAAAAATAAACTTCTATTGTACCACAGATATATATTGTCCAAAGTTTCTTGGCACTTCACTGTTGCAGACCTATCGAAGACCTGGGTCATTGAGAACCTCGATAATCTTTTCTCTAAATACATTCGCCAGTGGCTTGATCTTCCCATAAGTGCTACTTTAACTAGTATAGTTCTTTCTAAAAATCAATTTGGTCTCGATCTTCACCTACCTTCTGTCAAATTTACTCAATGCCAAACTGTTTCACGCAATGCCCTCCGAACTTCTCCTAACACAAACATTCAAGCTTTATGGAAAAACACCAGTAGTGGGATAAATCTGCAATACAACATTCACAGTAACACCAAAGTTGTACTTAAAGCAGTAAAATCAGACATTAGAGAGCGCTTGACACAACAATTACTATCCCAGGGTGCTATTATTTCATTTCTGTTGGACCACTCTCTTAAAAAGCTCAATGGTCTTTGGTCTGTTGTGCAGAGCAACCTACCCACGAACAGCTTCAACTTCACCAACAAGTACCTGAACAATACTCTCCCTACGCGCAAAAATCTAAGCCTTTGGAACCTAAGCCAATCATCTGATTGCGAATTCTGCTATCTTCCCGAAACGTTACTCCGTGTCGTTGCAGGCTGCAAAGTTTATCTCGAACAAGGTCGTTATACCTGGCGTCATAATTCTGCTCTAAATTTTCTTGCAACCTCCTTGAAAGCAATAGAGGGATCCTCTCTTTTTGCCGATATACCTGGCTTCTCCTCACCATTCATCATAACAGGAGACAATCTGCGCCCAGATCTACTTCTGCATACAAAGGAAAACATTCTATATGTTTTGGAACTAACGATAGGATTTGAAACTAACCTTAACTGTAATGCAGAAAGGAAACGTTTAAAATATGCTCGCCTTGTCTCAGATCTAAGACTAAGGTTCAAATCTGTCATACTTGTAAATCTCTCCATCAGCTCTCTTGGCATCTTCAGCGACTCATGCGGCTCATTCCTTGAAATGTGTGACTCTCTTTCCATCGATGATCAACACAAACGATATCTCATTTCCAAGCTTTCTATGATATCCATTCGTACCACCTATTACATTTTTTGCTGTAGGAACAAAACATGGACTAACCCAGAGCTACTCCCCTTTTAACGTTTTTTCTTTTCTTTTCTCTTTACTACGATTGTAATAGTCTTATTTTGTAAACACAGGCTAGCCAGTTACAAATTACCTTATAATAGTGAGATTTGTAATTGTAGTTTAAACTGGAATTCAAAATGAAAAGTTTCCATTATTATTATGCATCTGGTCATTTCCCTAGCGTTATCTTGCGAAAGCTCGCGTTTTAAGCAAGTCAGTTGTAGTTAAGTCATTGAATATTGAACCTCATGAAGCTGCGCTAAACCAAGTAGACCATATTATACAGCGAAATTATACAGCTTTGTATAGTGTAGATATTATCGAAATTCTTGCTGCCTTTTTGTAGGTATTACAGTGCTACTATCTTGTCGCTTGCTGGTATGGGCGAGAAGGACGCAATATGGCTTGCAGCAGTGGTCGCTTGCGGTAATTTTGTCTTCTCCTTTATTGCTCTTTTTCTTATTGAAAAGGCTGGTCGGCTCAAATTAACCCTAGTAAGCCTTTTCGGTGTTATAGTTGCATTGTGCTTGCTCGCTGCCACTTTTGTACTTTTGAAGGATGAGTCGCCTAAAACTGCGATACGGCACTTTGGCGATCAATGTGGTCAGCTTCAAAGCTGTTATGATTGTCTAATAGACGAATCGTGCGGATTTTGTTACTTTGACGCTGGCAATCGCAAGTACCTGAACAGCTCCTGCATCAAATTCGATAAAATGGGCTCCAGGCCCTCTCTTTGTAATTCAACAGCCTTGCATTGGAATAAAACGTCATGCCCCACATCATATGCCTGGCTAGCAGTCTTGTCCATGATACTCTATTTGGCTGCATTTGCACCTGGTATGGGGCCAATGCCGTGGGCAATTAATGCCGAGATATACCCATTGTGGGCCAGGAGTATTGGCACTTCATCTTCAACAGCAACAAACTGGTTTTTTAATCTCCTTGTTTCAATCACATTTTTGCATGTCATACAACTGCTGTCCAGGCCTGGCGCTTTTGTATTCTACGCGTGTTTGGCCGCCGTTGGCTGGGTTTTCATATTCTTGCTGTTACCAGAAACGAAAGGCAAGTCATTAGAAGACATTGAAGATTTGTTTAAAGAGAACGTTATTGTACGTTGTCGCAAGAAGCCAACAGAGAATTGATATATTTGTAGGGTACCTAAACACTAATCCGATTCGGTTTCTAATTCATTTATATACTAACTTGGTCAGCCACATCATAGCTTAAAAGCTATGACAAGCTCGATATTACCCACTTTCCCATTATTTGTTACTTGTTATTTTAAAAGCTATCCTGTATGTCATTATCCACTCCTAGACTTTGCAGAGCGTCTATTCAAGGCATTCTCATGCTACAATATTAGTAGTTATTTTTTTCGTCATCTAATTGAATACCTCTTACATCTAATTGAATACATCTAATTGAATACATCTGATATTAATTTCAATTACTATTGTAAGCAATTACTATTGTTTAATTTGCAAGCATTCACTATAAATATGTCATTTCAGTCTGAGGTTTTTGGCACAAATGAATACTCCTTCATCGATTTAATTTTTAATGCATCGATTGAGCATCAGGATTGTAGTATTAAAATCTTGATTAAATTTCTAGTTAATTTTGTTTTGTTTTTAAAAGGAGGAGTATTCTTGCCAACAAAGTAAAATTCTTGATAAAAGGGTTCTCTTTTGGAATCCATTTACCAGCTTTTTTAAATAATTTAAACGATTTTAGCAAAGGATGCTTAGATACTTTTGCTGAGTAAGGAGCCGGCAATCCATTTTACTATTGGTATCTCACTGCTTATTTTTAAACTACGGGCTATTTTTAAAATAGTTCTTAGTATTTTTTCTAATAATAATGGCCTTTAAAGGTGCATTTCCAGTGTGTCCATATAGGTCGCAATTGCACGCACGCTGGTAGAAATTGCTGATGAAATGCTGACGTGAACCAGGCCGTTCTCTGATTTAATTGGTTCAGACCAAGCCTTTTGAATGTTTATTGGTTTAGATCTAGTTACATCCCCCCCCCAGCTACATGCAACTTGTATGGACACACTTTCTTACAGTAATAATCTCAAATGTTTTAAGTAATTAAATATTCACAATTTAGTCAATTGTTTGTAATATGCATTGATGTTTCTAATAGGACATATTTTTATTAATCTGTAATTTACCAAACACTATTCTTTTTTGTTATAGTTTCTCTTTGTTCTTTCATTTCAAACTTCTTAGAAGCAAATGTGCTATGACTAAACATTTCTCGAATTGCTGTTGGTATTGATAGGAAAACAAATCACAGTTTTATAGATTAAACAGCTAAATGTGTTAGAACGTAGAAGAGCTATAATACCAAAGATTATTCAAAGCTAGAATTTTTTCTTCAGTTTAAACATTTTGATTCTTAACGTGTTGGCCAATGCACGTGATGAGATTTCAAAACATCAGTTGCAAATGCTGTGTGTGGTGACTTTTTCTGATGCTGTAGTGTAATTGGTTGCTTGTAGTAGGAAAAAGAGTAAGAAATTCCTTTTCGCCAGCAGTTTCCCACTGTGAAAACTGTATTCTTGTCTCACAAAGACCTTTGAGGCATCTGTTTTAGTTGCATCAGTTGGGGCGATTAGCAGCGCATGAATTATTATTCTCACAGTGCACCTTTTTGTGCTCTTGTTTTGAACGTTGCTTCGAAGAGGTCGACAAGTTATGCGTGTGTGCTGCATGTGAGAATAGCTTTCATAACGTTACCCTCTTCCCTTATGCTCTGGGAAAAAGTCGGTATACCTTGACCCAAAGAAGTTGTGATGCCAGGCTCCAACCTTTGATCAGGCCATTGAAAAATCAAGAAATCCTTTGAGTAGCTTTGCAAAACTCCACAATTTGATTTGATGTGTTAATGATAATACCTCTGACTTCATCTTGTGATAGTTCTTTAAACTGATCAAATGCAGGAACAGCTGGAGATAAGCTATTATACACCACATTTTTGATACCTTCTGTCTCTTTGATACCTTTTGATAACTGTTGCATCAATTTGTGATCTTATTGTATCAATTTTCTGACCAAAGATATCTCCAAACATTTTGCAAAGGTCCTCTTTTTTATACTCATCAGGGTAATGTATGCTTTTTTCTCCCTTTGTCATTTTAGAAACGAATTTGTAAAGGAGCCTTTGATTGCCATCGCAACTCTCCACCTTACTTGAGTAATATAATATTTTAGCATTGTTGCAACTCTAAGTATGCACCGTTTTTATACAAGTTGGGTATACGCAGTCCTTTTATATGGACACATTACCTTTAACAAAGTAATGATCTGAAATAATACTCCTCATGAATGGACTGTCAAGTGAAATCTCATTGTTATTTCTTGTAATGATCAGGTCTAATGTATTGCCAGCAACATGAGTAGGCTGCCAAACATGGTTGATTGGATCATAATTCTGGAGCAAATCAAGAAACGCTTTTACTGTCACATCACTCTCATCATTCACGTGAATGTTGAAGTCACCCAGGGGTGGCGCTAGAAACTAAACCAAGATGTGCCAACAATCTTAGAAAAATTCAAGTGCATACGACTATAAAAATGGTTTCCGACGTATTTTTTGAACTCCCCTTTACAGTATCTTTAAATCCTAAAATGTTTTAAAATGAATGGAAAAAATGTTTTTATCCGTCAATCAAATCGTGTATACCCACGGGGCAAGACAGGAGAAGAGACTTCTCTGCAAGCGGAGTAAGCAGAAAATTTTTGCGACCACGCCCTTTAGTTTAGCTTAAAATACATTCCAGAAAATTTCTTGGAGCCATTTTCTTCCAATTGTTTAAAATGTTTCACTATTTTTGGGCATACTTTTGTTATGTTTTATTAATTCCCTTCTTAAAAATTGAATTCATTACTTTATAAGGCCCCATAGATCCTTGAAGCCAAAGGGAAATTTGCCCCTTTGCCCCTTGCCCTCCTCTTTGCGGCCTTGGTTATTTGATGCCTCTCAGATTTTTAATAAATCACGGAGCTGGGTGACAGTTTTCTATAGAAAATTTTCTCAAAAGGACAATTTATAAAAACAAGAGCCTCCAAATTTTTTACTTTTAATTGATTCAAATTGGTCAAGTTTTTCCTATCTAGAGGTGCTTTGACGCTAAATTATTCAAACATTGTTTGCAAATGGTGCCTGAATACTCCTCTTAAGCACAATATTTAGCAATTGCACTGCTTACACCCTCATGATTTAAGAACAAATTAAGAACAATCCAGCCTCATAGTGATAATGGTTTTACTTAGAGTCAAAAAGCCAGCCTGAACTTCAATTTAATGTTTCTTGTAAAAAAGTAAATTCCTCATTTGATAGTTTCAAAGTGACGACAGTTCCTTTTCTCTTCTTATTTTGGGCTGCCAACGGGGTGTCATTGGTAACTTTTGGAGTGTGCGGTTGCCATCCCTGAAGTCAGCGCAATAAGCAATTTATTAGGTGTTATTATAATAGATTCCAAGTAACTGGAAAACTCATCTATGAATGTTCTTGCAGCCACAGAATGATGTGCAGTATATGGAGGTCTGTAGACGATTATCAATGTTATTAAACCAGACTGACATTTCAATTTCCATTCTGAGAATTCAAAAGGCGACTTACAGCCTGAGTGTATGAGTCTCGTTTTCAGTCGTGATTTGGCCAGCAACCCAGTTCCACCCCCATTCAGGGCCCACGCCACCGGGGGGCCGGAGGGGCCATGCCCCCCACCTTTTGCGGAGCAAGTAGTTTTAAAGCTGTAGTAAAAGGGGGAAAGCCTTGGCCGCCTAGTTTTGCTAGCATTGGCCCCACCACTTTCAAATTCGTGGCGTGTGCATTGCCATTTCTGTCAATCCGTGGCACATCAAGAAAATCGAAACGTGGCACATCAATAAAATTTAGTTTATGACTATGTTTTAAATTCTGATTTTAATTTTGTAGAATGTATCAATAAGATTCATCCGATACCACCAGTTCATTTGCCATGCTCGTACCGGGTCTCTATTGTGACGTCACGGCTTTTGCATCTTTATTATAAGAATGCTCCATGACCAATAGAAGATTTCAAGTTTGCTAACGGATTACTGTTATTCTGGCCTGATTCATATACTTGTGGATCAAGACCAGTTATCGAGGTTTGATGGGAAAGAGCCTGTATTTACCATAAATTCTCTTTTAAGCCCCCACCCCTTCCCATCAAATCAAAATCCACACTATATTTCTTCCAGTTTAGACAGATCCGAAGACAAAGATACAGTGTGCATTAAGCACGGGCCATGTGAGAGCTTTTTACCAAAATTACAGGCCGTTACTCAGAGGGATGAAGTCGACCTTTTCCAATGTTCGATTTCAGAAGGCGACATGGCCTAAGAAGATATTTTAGAATTTAAAAGTTACGACGATGACAATGACATTATTATTGCTGTAGAAGGCTGATTTCATAATGCGCTGTTGGGATGTATGGTCAAACTTGAAAAGTCCTAACAGTATAGTTTATGACGTCTCCACTTCGGTACTCTATTGCTTTGGACACGAGATATAATTCTAAAAGCAAATCAGTCAAAGAACAAATCAGTCCAAGAGGCAAATCAGAATTCAAAGTTACCAAGACAATAAAGCAAATTCTTGCGTTAATCATTTCATACGTAAAAAGGCAGAACAGTTTGCGTGCATTCAACAGAGATTAGAATGCGTTCGTACTCCCCCCTCTTCTTTTCAGAACTTTACCCCCCCCCCAATTATTTTCACTACTTTGGCTACATTTGACATGTTTCTGCTTTAAGTTCAATTCAGCCAATAACATGCTTTTCTATCTCGTGGTAGAACTAAATTTATATCATCTGATACTAAAGATGGGCAATGAACACACATGGCAAAGAGTCACAAAGAAGCATTGTGAACTCCGGAGTGCATGAAACTTCTCTGAGCGACCACTTTTTGGTTTGCTGCAATCGAAAGCTCGATGGAGCAGTAAAAAGGGGCCATAATGTGACCAAAACTCTGAAGATGGCAAATTTTGATTTAAAGGCATTCCTGGCTAATGTCATATGTTCGGAGCACATGCTTACTGAAACAGATGACATAGATCTCCTTGTGAGCAATTTGCCAAACCTATTATCTTTGATTATAGAGAAGCATGCCCCGATGACTAGGATGCATTTCTCAGAGACATACCACCCCAGATTGACAATGATCTGGAGAAGCTAATGCAGGCTGTAGAAGAGCTAATGCCTCTTCTTTTCAAGGGAGGCTGCGCCCCCTCCTCTTTCTTCTAGGTGATTCTAAAAAAGCATGGCTAATTTTTGCCACGATCAAATCTTTGATTTAACCAAAGTTGAGCCGATTTTACTTTTTAACATTTGCATTAATGTGTGCCCTCCTGATAACTGAAAACTCCATAAATGCTGGCAGAAGTTTATCACTTTGAATTAGTCCAGAGGCAGAAGGGGGCGCATTGCCACCTGAGAAGGCCCTGTACCAGACTACCATCTAGACCAGTTTTTGGTGTAGAATTCGAATCTGGATGTTGATCGGGCATGAGAGGACGTTTTTCCGAGATACAGGGGGTTTCGTCCAAAAACTGGGATGCAGCCTGTGAAGAAGCTAACAATGGCCACAAGACGAGAAACTTTACCAGAGCATCTTTCTCTAGACCAATTTTTGGTGCAGAATTCGAACCTGAATGCTGATCTGGTGGGTGAGGTTATTTTTTCGAGATAAAGGGGTTTTGTCCAAACCTGGGACACAGATTGTGAATGTGCTGTCAAAGACCACCCTCGGGGGAACTTTTCCAAACCAACTTTTCCCATACTAGTAGTTAGTGAAGAATTGTTGATCGGGTTGGAGATGATGCTTTTCCGAGATACGGTGTGCTTTGTCCAAAAACTGGGATAAAGCCTCTGAATATCATATGAATAGATCAAGTTGTATTTCTTATTCATGTTTAGCAAAAATATAATCTACAGTGGACCTAGAGTAGCACTGCTGTCAGCCCTTGGGCAATTTGAAATGTAGGGTCATTTTGTTTAGAAAAAGGAATTTGTTAATCAGTTTGATCTGTGATTTGTCTCACGACGTTCATAACTATAGCCATAACAGACTTATATGAGTTTCTACAGTACAGATTGTTAATTCAAGATGATAAGCTGCCATGTCGTTGAAATTCTCTTTCATCTCACTGTCAGTGAATGTTTTTGTGTGTTTATCATCTTCATCATTTGAAGAACTTTCTTGACAATAATCTGACTTAATCAATAGTTCTTCTTTTACTCGGTAACGTATGGTTTTTACCTCTAATCCATCGTATTAAAATTCAATTTGTGTTTAATCAGGCGCGGATTTAGTCTGTCGCACAGGACGCACTGGCGACAGTCAGAATTTCAGTTTCAGATTTTTTAAAAGTGAAATCCAGTAAAATATTAATTCAAGTATTTTGTAAATCATTGCCCAAAACTGCTTGAGAGAAAGGGTCGGATAAACGAGCCACGCCTATTATAGCGCGTGGCTGGCAAAAATTCCGATGATCACGCCCTCTGACCCGTAGGTGGTCTTGTGCGACAGTCAAATTTTTAGCTAGATCCGCGCCTATGTTAGTTTTTATATTGCATAATTTATCGTGACAAAACTCTTGAGGTCTACGATGTGCACCAAGGTGACCTCTCCTGGTTTAAACCCTACCTTTCCAACCGAAAACAGTTTAGAAACACAACATTGTCAAACGTCAAAATAGAGATCTGGAACTCAAAGTTCCCGAAAATTAGCTTGAAGTGGTCAAAAAGCCGAAATACCTGGGTGTGCAAGCGGACTGCTCCTTGGATTGAAAAAAAAGGATCAAAGGAAGCTTCTAGCAAAGTTTCTAGCAAGAAGTTGGTTTTTAAAATCTACCAAAGCTATTCTTCCGAAAGAAGCTATGAAAACTTAATACACAGGTATTTTCCAGCCCCACTTTTGGTACTGCTGTTCCGTTTGGGGCTCTTCTGGTTTGACTCAGTGAAATCAGTTAGTTGCAAAAACTTCAAAACCGCGCTGCTAGAATAATAACAAACAGCAGCGTCGATACCCCAAGCAGATATTGAAAGGCTGGGATGGAAGACGACTGATGAACTTAATGCCAGTGAATCTAAAACCATGGTCTCAAAATCCATTAGCAAACTGGCACTATTATACTTGTGCGACCTTTTCATTCTCTCTGTTCATCACATAGCCTTTGCAACACGGGAACCGATTTTAGGTTACCAATGAAAATTTCAGCAAATAGTCAGAAATGCTTCTTTTATGGAGATGCAAAGCTATGGAGATGCAAAGCTATGGAGTAGCCTGCAGCCGAGTCTAATCTGGCAAACCCTCTCTCCATAGCTTCAGGAAAACCATTCGCAAAAAGAAACATTTTGCTTTTCTTTAGACTTTAAAATTTTGATTTATGATCGATAGGTTGTAAACATTGTAAATAAGGTTTAATAGCATAATTTCATTTATTGGTTTTTACTTTGTATCCTCGTAATCAATTTTTTATCTGACGGCCCCTTGAAAGCCAGTTTCCGCTAAAAGGCAACCGTCCTTAAAAGAATTGAATATGAAATATGGCGGTAAAACTTGCCCTTTTTGCTGTCACCCTTTTCCAAGCCGTACGTATCGCTATTGCAGAATACAGTTGATTTTCTTGAGGTGTTTTACACAGGATTGCTTTTCATTTAATGGATTTGCTATAAAGCTATTACAGAAAGACAGATGAAAACATGCAAAATCAGCTTTCAATCTCGTTTAATGGTAGTTACTTTTACATATTTCTACAATTCATGCGTTAGTTTAGAAAGTTATCAGAGTTGCAGGACATCATTTTTACATTGGCAACTCTTAATGGTTATCACAACTTGACATTTAATTAACTTGTTCATTTGTAATACGCTTCATCTCCCCGTAAAGAACATCTCTCCATGCACAAGGCCTTCGCCAGCACACAAACCTTGAATGAAAGCTCGTGTTGAATATCTTCATGATGTATACATTGTTCGAACTTTCCCCAGCATCCATTGGCACAGGGGCTTCTTTTAAAGAGATAACTGTCTTCAATTGGTTGTGCTCTTGTTGTGCCACATGAAATATAGAATATCAGGAAGGCAATGAGCAAACTCGTTGACAATAGTGTTCGTGCCATATCTGAACGCTAAAAAAAACAATGTAAAGAACATAACTAACATTGAAGAGAAATAAAAGTGAAATAAGAACAATGAGAACGAGAGAATTGGAGGATGCTGCAGTCGTTTCGTTGTATTGCCAGCTGACGCGTCTTTGTTCCTTAGTTAGCTGAAATTCGAAATTCCATGTCAACACAATTTCGTCTCGTTTCAAAGCTAGCTGCGCATTCATATTGTAAAGTGCAAATTTTATATCCGGCTGACAGTTATTTCATTTTGCCTTTTCGTCCCAGTAAAAAAATCTCCAGCTTGCAAGATTCTCTCTCGCAAACGCAAAAATATTTCATTTTACGGCGAAGTGAAATTTTTCTTCGCAGTTTCACACTTCTTTTGAAGAAAATATCGGAAAAGAATTAGCTGCTCGTTACTTTTCAACGCATTCAATGTTTTTGTAAACTGACTTGTGTTACTGGCATGACTTCTATTAAATGTTGCGCTAATGCAGTTGTTTAACAAAGAAGTTGAAGCGATGCCTTTTTACATAAGAATATTTTGAATGAAAGAAACTACGACTCCTCTTGTCCGTATAAACAATATCTTTATTTCGTACACGCATAACTCCAAAATCTCTTGCGTCTGGGTATAGCTATTTACCCTGTCTTTTTCATTTCAAAATATAAAATTATCAAAGAAATTTGAAAACCAGTAGAAAGGTCCTTATTTAAAACAATGAGATATTAATCAAATACAAAAGGATAACTGATCACATGCTCAATTTAAAAAATTTCAGAAACTATTCTATGTTAAAGGAAAAGTTGATTTTTTCTTTCTAAATATTTTGACAGACAAATTTCTCAAAAGAAAAAGGCACAACCAAAGATTCTGGCGATTATAGCCCTGGTAAATGAGCAATGGGTAATCATAGACTCTAGGGTAACAAAGACTCAAGGGAGAGGCAATTGGGAAGAAAAAAGAAAGGAAAGGTGCTTTCTTTTTCGCACTTTCTCTCCTTGTTCTTACTAGATTTGATTCTCTGAGGCTCTGGTGCCCCCAGGGTAGTGATTTCGGCAACATGAAACACTCGATTTGCCTGTTTTATCATTGGCCTGTTATTTTCTTCAATCATATTTCTGTGGTCCGGTGCTAGACCATCACAGGCCAACAGCAAACATGGTTAAGAGAAAGTGAAACTCGTTATTTGATTCGCCCATTTAACGGTTGGCATGTCATTTTCTCTAAACAGATTCCATCGCCCACTGCTACACAATGATAGACAGACAAGTGTCTGCTTCTCTCCATGCAATTGTATTTGTTTATTTTGGACTAATTTATGAGCTATTTCTATATTGATGAATTTATACAGATATGTCGAACAGTATGCTAGGGATAGGATAAGAAACACATAAATTGCTACCCATTGAACTGAGGATGTATCGGAAAATCAAGAGATAATAGAGTTCTCACGTGAAAGAACACCATAAAATACTCCCAGATATGCAAAATCAGTTAAATTTGTCAAAAATTAGGTGAGCTATTGTCAATTTAGTTTGCTAACAGATTACTGTTATTTTGGCTCATTTCATAAAGTTATGAACTGAGACCAAATTAGAAAGGTTTGATGGGGCCAGAGCTTGTGCTCATTTGCATAATTCTCAGCCAATTCGTTATACCTTCAACTGATTTTGCAGATTTAGAGGTTTTTCAATATGGTCTTTTAGGTTATGTGAAAAATTTAAAAATTCTAAGAATAGATTTTTTTGACGTCATCACTTGACAACTTTATAGCGGCAACTTTATAGTAAATGAAGTGTTAAATGCATAAAAATCGCTTATACCTTTCCGTTGACAAAAAACAACTCATCAGTCGCAGAAAAACACGGAAATCAATGCTGAATCAGTGACAACGAAGATAATGTATATTTACTGACGAAGATTGCACATAGTTTATAAGTGATGCAGCTGCAGGTGCGAGATTAAGCTAACTAAACGGCGGATGTAACTTGTGCGGAAATCTAAAATTATATACAATGTGAACTAAGATTATTTATATCGGCAAAATAGCAAAAGCCTTTTCGCTACTCTTATAAGAAGGAACCGACCGAGAGAGCTGTTTCATCTAGCAAAGCTTACCTGCTTGGGATTGGGGATGGGTGCCCCCCCCCCCAATTAAATATGACTTAAATCACTCTTGCCTGGCCAGAATATAACCCATCGGATTGGCTCTTCCAAAGAGAACAAGTACTTTGCTTTATATGAATCAGATGCTTCACAGTCTAGCTTTTTAGGGTAGTGTAATTTATTCAAAGAGAACTCGGCTTGTCCAAAGAGAACAAGTATGGCTACTTTGCTTTTTATAGGGATCATATGCTTCACAGTCTAGCTTCTAGGATAGTTAGATTGAATTGATCTATGTCAAGGTCCCAAATGTCGATTAGCTTGTCATAGCTGCGAAGATTTGCCAGCTTTAACTGATGCGAGTTTACGCTTTGGGAACTAGAGCCCCAAACCGCACCAAAACATTTTCCTAAAGTAGTTAGTTTTATTTGAAATGGTCGCCTGGCCAGATAAATGAAACATCGAGATAGATCATCATATTTTGTTAGATAATTTTTTTTAAAATTCGTTTGACCACTATTTCATATTTCATACTAAATTTATTGCTGTTTAACATTTCATGCAAGCATTGTTTGTTAATTTTTTGTTGTTTTGATTCGTTGGGTCAGAACTTATCCGAGTTATTAGTAATTTTTCAACACAGTAGTAAGTCAACTTCGTGTTTGCTTTTCTGACGCCAAACTCACGGAAGACGTGTTCAAAGTAATTTGAATTGACAATCATTCAGTCTCACTTTCAAAAAAAGGTAAACTGATCCGATTAAGACCAGATCCAACCGTTTACACAGGATCCGGTCCACATCGGACCTTTACGTTATCAGCTCCCTATCAGCTTTGAAGGCGATCCTAAAAGTATTCTGATAGTGGATCCAAAAGTTTACGGATCCACCAGTTCCCGTGTCAGGGAAGAACTCCCCGTACTCTTTTGGATCCACTCTCGTGTAAACGGGGTCTTAATCAAAGCTATCGCGTAAACGGGTGAAGCGGTCTTGAACAAAAGCGTGCAAATTAGTTTGCTTTGTCTGGTTTGCGAGATTTCCTCATCAAGTGTTTCAAACTTTTAATAATGGTCCCTGCCAACGCAATATAAAGCGTGGATCAGATGCTTCATTGACTAAGTCGAGATTTGAGCATCAGATTGGCGAGGCTTACATTGGCAACTTACCCTAGTTTTCTATGTCCTTAAAATGTCTTTATATACCTAAAAGATTTATCCAAAGAACACTAAATCGTGTTGACAAATAAACGGTTTGACGCTACACGTTTCAAAAAGTATAATCGTTTGTGAATATTGAAAGTTTTGAAGCATAATCCTTTGCGAATATGTGGTGTAAAAATCCGTTTTAGCAGTTGTTTTTGTAGATACTAAACAGCAAAGCTGGGCATAGTGAGAATTATCTAAATACTGCTGTCTCTGGAGTGCACGCATGGCTAGCTGAGCCTATTTGTAACTTCCCAGTATAAATTAAAAGGCATTAGATCGACTTTTTTAAGAATATACACCTGTTGTTGTTTAATGAGAAGTTTGTTATCTGAGGACTATCAGACGAAAGCTTTGGTATGTCCGAAAATGTTTACTTTTTTAAAAGCCATTTTCAAGAAACTTATGTAATTCTCAGGACTAATATTTTGTTATTTTTTGTAATGAATGAGTTATATGCATGGGGGGGGGGGGGGGGTTGGGAGGGGTGGAGGGGGGTAGCTGCTTGTTTTCCCTGCAGAAATATTTTGCCCTGGCAAAAGTAAAAAATATGGGCAACTGGCCCTCGATTTATGTGCTCATCTGGACCTGGACATATCTCAGCCAGTTCGTAATACTTTTAACTGATTTTGCAGATTTAGAGGTATTTCTTAATACTCTTTCATTTTATGGGGTAAAAATTCGAAAATTCTAGAAATAAATTTTTTGACTTCATCATTTGACAACTCTATTCATTAATCCGTATTGTTTACTTGATCTTTGCCACGCTATTCAATTTACTCATCACCTTTACTCGCCCTTCCTATCTTTTGTTTTTCTCACATCATTCGTGTCATATTCAGCAATAAATTTCTGTAGTTAAGTATGTTAAGTTATAAGCAATTTAAATTCAGAGATCAGTTAGAATCAAGAAACGCAGTAGTCACATCGTCTCCTCTCTGGCTTCATGTTCTCTGCACGTAAAATAAGACGCAACATTGGTTAGAAATGACACGTTTTCGATGGATGGTTTTATTAGCGAACGATTCGCTTCAAATAATAAAACAACAATGCGCAATTCGCGTTATACTAAAGATAAGAGAAATAGCAACAACAGAGATTTCTGCTTCAGGGTTTCTTTTGGCCTCACAAATGCCTGGCCCAAAATGGGCTCCTCTAAGAGTGATTGTTACTTTTAGTCGTGCCAAGTTTCAGATTTCTGTTATCACAGTTTTTCAAAACCAATTTTTTTCAAAAATAAGTTGTAATTACTTCCAACCTGAGGCACGAAGAAAATCGCTGGAACAGATTATCTTTCTTCAAAATCTCGTAAGTTTCAGGATACGTATATGAATTTCTTGCTAAGAAGATATTGCAGAAAAGAATATCGATGTTAGGTTCTTGATAAGGTATATGAAAGACAAAGAGAGATCCGAAAACCTCTATAAAAAATATATCAACAATATAATTAAATCATGTATCTTCCTATTTCATCGATTGTTTGCCTTCCTGACGCTATCGATGAGAATCACACGAACAAAACGAAAAGGGAAAATGAATTTTAATTGCAGTTATATGAGCGAACGTCTACAAGCAGCGTGTAATTTTCCAACATCGAGGAAAGAATGATGTTCTTTCGTAGAATTTCAAAAAAAGTATTTGAGTTGATATTGCCAAAAATTTATGGTGAATAAGCTATTTGAAAATTACTTCAATATCTCACAAAATTATTCAGCAGTCTCTTGCAATTTTGAATACCTGAAGCATGAATGTTTCCAATTTTAAGCATTCATTCACATGCAAAGATGATACGAATGCGTAACGAGCAGAATCTTCCGTTGAAGAATGAGACACTGATGCATAAGATGAAACATATTGTTTCTTCATGACAGCCTTAACTTGGACTACGATGTCCTGGCTATGGATATTGTGATGAAATGTTGCAAGGTAAAATAGCATGCATGCAGAGCTCTTAAAAGTATGATTGTTTGGGTGAACGAAAATGCTTGCTCTTTTATTAATTTCAGCTCTTTTGGTTTCAGTCCTTCAAAAAATTATTTGAAGTAATCTAATAAAAGGTGGCCTGAATTCTGGTAATTAATTGACTTTGATGCGTGTTGACTTTTTATGCCAAGATTTTGAGGAAGACTGAAACGTTTATAAACCTATTTATTCCTCACACATCCGAGAAGCTGGCGCGTTTTCTCTTTGCTCAAATCTGTAATTGATCTACAAACCACAGTTTTTCTTATATATTGTTTCTGGCCACCTTGCAAGAAGCAATCTTACTTAAGTCTCGCCTCACTTTTGCCAACTAAGAACCCTTCTAAATAATCTTTGAATTCGAAAGAATTCAGCAATTCCAATAGGGTATTCAATGGGCATTAAATGCATCGTCTTTTCTTACACTCCTAGCTCTAAATATTAAAAGTAATTTAAGGCTGCCTAAAATGTTATCAAACAGAAAAATATATTTATTTCTCTAGTCGTAAATAGACAGGGTACGATAACTTCGGATTTGTGCATCAGAAATGTGAATTTTATTAAAAAAGATTTCAAAAGTTAAATACAATGTCACCTACCGTCAAGTACCAAAGTTTAAAAGAGAGTTTGTCTGTAAGATGATCTTGCGAGGTAATAAGAACGTTGCTTCTCCTTCTTAAATCTGCAGCTGACATAATGCGAAATTTGTTCAGGCCTGCTGCTTTTATATGCAATCTTCATTGCAACTTGCATTCTGCACTCAAGCCTCACTTCCGCTCTGTTGCCATGTGTGATGAAGCTAATAATGCTCGCTTTTATATTGCGCATGCAAAAACGCGACCAATATGGATTCCGTCCACATGCTGCCTTAGGAGATTTTGTGGCATATATAATGAGAAACATTCAGCTGCTCAAAGTAGTACAGGACCTAGTTAAGGAGTATTTGTCATCACTACAACAAGTTTTACAACCATTGTGATTTTCTTTGCGTAGGACACAAGGTTTGCACAGTGTCATCAAAGAAAAATGATCCAATTAGTTAATAACGAAAATCGGAAAGCACCTTTGCATTTCAAATTGCAATGCAACTATCAAAACGGCTAAGGAATATTTCCTGAAAAGACAGTCCAATGTTTGCCACCTTGACTCCACATGTTTTAATCTGATAGGCACACAGCTGATTTGATTTGTGCATGAACAAATAGTTGTTTTTAGCAATTATCAATATTGTCAGGGAAGCAAGTTGAAAGGAAAATCGTTTGTGCACAATTTTAAATGCAATTTGTCAAAAATTTATTCAATCATGGATTTTTATTTGCTTCCTAATGCAATCAGAACATAGCCATTGTAATGAAACTGGTTGCAGATGTCTCAACCTTTGCAACCAGTATGAGTTGAACCAGAATGACCCCAAGAAATATTTCCTTTGTTACTTAAATTGTTTGTTAAGTTGTTTCAATTTCCACTACAAAAGTTCATTGTGATGCTACGTAGGTGTTGTCATGGGTGGGACAATATATTTTAGCCAATTTAGCAGCATTCTTGTAAATCATCTATATTTTTGAAGACAGACAAATCCAAGAAGCTGAGACAAGAAAACTTGGTGTTTTCTCTTTCCTTTCAATAATAACTTTGTTGAATGCATGTCTTTGAAGCACGAATGCTAGAACTACTAGTCAAAGTTGATTTGGAAAAAAAAGGAGGACATTCGAATTTACAAGAGCAACGTAAATTAGAAATTTACATTTCTTCCAACAATTTTGTCCGTGACTGTAAGTTTGAGTACTGATTCACTTGCAGTGGAAAGGTGTTTGGACTTGATATTTATTCTCTTTTGGTTTTTTGAGATATGACCGCCTTTGTAAAATCATCTCGTTGGGCCTCGTTGATTACCTTTACAACAATGTCTCAAGGATCACCGATTATAACGAGGAAAGTGTGATAATAGCGATACCTACTCCTGTTTTGTGGCATACTCTAGAGTGCTCGTTTGTATATAGAGAACTTTTGCTGCAAATACTTCTACCCAAAGGTGAAGCTGCAAAAGATAATGCCATGAAGTAAAAAATAGTATCGCGTGTAAAAAAATAATTTTTTTCTTTATAGGTAGGAAGACAACTCATAAAACTTAAAATTGAGTTGAGCTTTGTATAGTGTTGTTTTCATATTATCCACTTTGTTAGTAAAACGAGCTCCCACGACCCCATAAGTAACCAAAAGCTTGCAAGCAAAGATACGTCTGCCTTACTTTGGTAGTTATTTATTTTCAGCATACAATTTAAATTTGAAACCTTGTACAAACATGCTGGGTATTATTATAGTGCCTACATCGCTCTTAAATAGAGTTTACTCGCACAGTTTTTGACCAAGTCGGTCGTACACTCTTTCCTTTTCAAAATTGTGTCGCGTAAATTTGTAAACAGGTTTTCCATGTTAGAAGAATTTGTCATTCATATATATTTGAAATCCTAATACGAGTCTTAAGCTAGCATTTCGATAATGTAAAAACCAAGAGTTGTTTTTTTTGTGTTACAGAATATAAAGTTTAGAATCCAGATCTCGGGTCCTCCTTGCATCAAAATCTTGGTAAGTTATATGCATTTTACACTTGTATCCTAGGACTATAATTTAAAGCCCTTGGAATGTATCCTACAATCCATAATTTCATGGTGGTTGTTAATCGCCTGCTTTTTAGAAGCTTCTACCGAACCTGAAGTCAAGAGTTTAACAAACCTACCATTACTGAAGTCAATCCCTTACATGCTGAAAGAAACCGTCTTTGTCAAAGCGATTCATTTGCACTGCTAGCTGTTGATACTCTGCATTCTCTTTACTCTCTGCATATATTTCTGATATTAATAGTTTTTCCTTGCAAATTTTTAGCGGGCTCGTTGACATTCATTGTGCGACCCCCCCCCCCGGCCCTCCCTTTTATTTTTGGGTCCTTCTGTTGCTTCGATTCGACTCAACTTTTTGATAGTCCGTAGTAACAGTATCATGCATAAAATTACTCTACTTATCTTCTTAATCTTAAATCTGAAACTGAATATTAAAATTGGCGTTACCACTATTCTCAAATCTCCTGAAGGGTGTAACACCAAAATCCAGTCTTTATCTCTCCCCCCCCCTCTCCGATAGCAACTCCGTTTATATTTTAGTTTTATTTGATGATTTTCCTGTTTCAAATCACAGAGATACAAGCCCCATACAATCCCCCAGATATTCATTGGATTTTAAGGCTTTTTCAAATTTTCTGTCAAGATTACAAAACATTGTGTAGAATCAAGTGGAATCAAGCTGTGAGGTGATATCTAAACGCCATTTTGCTTAATTAAATCAAGCAATAAAAAGCCTATAGAAAATCGCCCACCTTATTTCATTTATTAAAAATTCATCAAATTAGTTTATACATAGTTTACACCATCAAAATCAACACACCTGAGCTTTTTACTTGGCTTAAGCAAATAAGATTTGCTGTATTCAATATATGTTTGGTGTAAATGGCATTTAATTAGTAAGGTAAATGTGTCATAAGGCCTGAAGCCCTAATGACAGTGAAAATTGATTAAAAATTGCAATTTTTATGAAACTAATTTTTTGTCTTCTACAATCTGTAGGACAATTTGCATCCAAGTATAATTTGATTTTGTAGCATAGCCCCAAACTTTTGCCCATTCCTCGAAAAAAAGGAAATGTAAATTCTAACTTTGATAAATTTTAAAGCGAAGTATACCTAAAGAATCTCAAATTTAAGGAATGGATCTGAAGTAATCATGCCATTTGGTCAGCAAAATTGTTAATTGATCGCTGTAAAAAGGCATTGGTCTTCATTTACAAATGTCCTTGTTTAGTTGGTAAGGTTTAATTTTCTTGACCCTCCACAACCAAATTCTGAAAGATCCAGGTATGATGTTGATGATGTCCTGTTATTTTGACATCTTTGGTTGAAATTCCATGAAAATTGCTTGTTTGGTAAATTTGAATTTATGTGAGAGCGCAGCGCAGGAGCCGATCAGACTAAAAACAGCAAGACTGTTGCTCAATAATAGTAAGCAAAGGAGTTGGGGTTGGGCCCAAATTTCCCAGTTGGGTGGGCCTACAACTCCTTTTCTCCTGGTTGATGAATCATAGAATTACAACCAACCTGTTTAATAAATTTCTAGCTCTTGCTTTTTCATTTAATATAGAATTTGTACATACATTTGCCCCCTTTGGTTCTTCCACTGTAAAGCTGCCTGGAAGTAATTTTATAATTTTCCCGTATACTTTTTCGGATTTCTTGTCTAGCCAAGGGTATATCTTTTTGCAATTTTGGTCAAGCCAAGTCTAGCTCATATTTGACAATATTGGCCTAGCGAACTGCTTTTGAAAGTAGGAATTTCTTCCTGCCAAACCTCCCCCACGATTTGGCCTTGGGCATGACCTTTCCTTCCATGCATTCATATACATATATAGATACCACCCCTCTCTAAGTATATATAATTTGGGGATGCTACCCTTGAAAAGCATCAATAATACTTCTTCTCTAATGGCATAATTGCCAAATTGTTGATCACTTAGACACAAGCAACTGGTTTTTAAACTTTCCGGCCGAAGTAAGAAGAATTAAGCTTTCTTCAAATCTAGTATAGCACTTGTATGACTAAAGGGTAAAAGCCCCAAAGGACTAAAATGAATCCTTTAGTGGTTTAGATGATTCAACTAGTATTTAACAACACTGCTTGTTTCTAAAAATCTCATTGTATGAAGAATTCTGTTTTAAATGTGGACAAAAATTGGAATTACAATTGCCATTAAATTACTTAATTACTATAAATATAATTCTAAATTTTGTGGAATTACTAAAGTTTATTTTGCTTTCTTACCACCTTGCTTTCTTACCATCTAGCTCCCATTCCACATGACTCTGAATATTTTTTCCCGAAGATCAGATATTTTTTTGTATTATAAACAGAAGGGAAATGACGGCTTTAACAAGGTACTTGACCCCCATATTCACTGGGCTTGGCCCACAACTCAAAAAGCCCTAATCTTGCCATTGTATTTGTGAGCCTTTGAGCATTCAAGTACTTATCGGAACATTGTTCTAGAAATTTCTAATTTGCCACTTTATAACCCCTCAAAATTAACTATGTGATTGGAGATTATGCTTTGTTCCTAGATGAAGGCAACAGAATATCAATGTCTTATAAATTGTGAAAAAATGACAAAAGTGGCAATATACAACTAGGAAAAACTTGTAAACCTGAGCAAAACTTGCTTGAAATTCAAAATTTCTTAGAAAAGCATTGCAACAGTCCCACTGGTGGCAGCTTCTGTAAATAATGTGTCATTCCTATTGCTCTGTGACATTCCATTTGTTGACTTTTCATCAGATGAAGCAACAGGTGAATTACTTGGTTGCATTTTAGTTAAAGCACTCCTCTCTCTTTCAAGGCTGTTTGAAAGGTTAATGAAGCTGTTTGGGACATATGATTGGAAATCACTGGGACTACTGCCAGTACCAAATGCATCATCAATGTTTGTAATAGAATCATCATTGATAGTAGCATGAGCTTCATCATAAATCTGAACAGCAGCGATCTCTGATGGATACATGTGGACTTTCTCCAAATCCCCAGTTGAAAAAGAAACCCTCATTTTTTTCTAAAACGAGGAACAGAAAAATTGTCTAACTACAAAACAATAAACTATTCTAAATCAATCACTTCAATCTTTATTTACATTTTTTGGAAATGTTTACTAATTCATAAACATCCATTAAATCTTTCCAGCCCCATTAGGATCTTCTAAACATTAAAATCTAGCATATTAAGATTTTCTCCAAGAAGAATACTATTACTTATCAATTTGTCAACATAAGTCAATTATTAAACTCTTTGAAAATAATAACAGAATATTTTAAGCCTAGGAAACAACCTGTTATGGATAAATATTCCCAGTGCTGTAGTGCTAAGGGGGCCCAAGAGGGGCTGAGCTCCTCTTTTTAATGTCAAAATTTAACCAATTTCTACTTTTGCTATTGTTTTAGCAACATTGTGTGCAAGAGCCCCTTCCCCTTGTTACTTTGCTAGCACTACATCATTGAGTATTCCGTTTATACATTATCAGTTATCAGTGATGGATTAAGCCCAAAGTGGGCCTGATGTTGCAGCACAAAAAGAGCCTTTATTGAAAGCAAAAAAAAGAACCTATTCAGCTGCAGGAAAATTCTTGTCTTTAGCCATTAGAGCCTATTTCAGGAATAGACCTAATGATGCAGAGCCAATATCACGAGCCTAAATCCGACTCTGTACATTCTCTTAAGTTAAGACGGCTCATGGTTCAGGATAAAACATGAGATAGACAGTTTTGTTAACAATTTTATTATCTAGACGGTTTTAATTATATTCCTGGTAATATGTTAACAAGAGATGCATAAAAGTTGCCTCATACCTTGCCACCTTTCTTTCCTTTGCTGCTGAGAGAGGAGACCAGACCAGTAACAGGTTTTTCAAAATATACTTTAGGGGCGACAAGTTCTCTTCTGTCTGCATCGTACTTCCCTGGCTTTTTACTTGTTAAAGTTTTAGGCCTTTCATCTTCTTGCTTTGAAATAGTATTTCCAATGCTATGTTTGTTTATTTTATCTGATTTAGGTACACATTCAGATGGCTCATCAAGATTTGTGACAGGAATATGTGATCCATCTCCATTGGAAACTGGCATCATATCATCAAGGTTTGTAACAGGTATAGGTGCAATTACATCCAACTTTCTTTTTTCTTTTGTTTTCTGACCATCAGTCAACCTCAAATTGTTCTGTACATCTAGTTTATGAGCACCTAAGTCTTTGTTCTTGCTAGAATGTAACTGTTTTTCTCTTTGTTCACCAGTTCTTATTATCATTTTGTTTATTTTTTTTTCATAATTCTGCAAAGTTGATGGAGCAATGACATGATCTATTCCAAAAGTTTCTACAGAATTGTCTTCATCCTGTAATTTTGCTCTATTTTCTTTCTTACCTTTACTATCGATTCCACTATTTACATATTCCAGTTGATCTTCTTGTGATGTTATGGGCTCTTTCTTGAATATATTCAAAAGTGCTTTGTAATTATTGTCTTTAATGGGCAAAGTGTTTTTATTTTCGCTTGTATCATTAGATTCCTTCAAAGGTATTCCATTTGCATGAACACTTTCAAATGATATTTCTTTGAAGCTACTGTCTTTTGAATCAACATCACTGTGTCTGGTCTCTGTCTCCTTGTGCTGAGTAAAATTTAGCTCATTTTCAGCATGCTCTCTGATGTCATTAGGTTGTTCTGATATATGTTCAATTAGAATACTCAATTGCTTATCATTTCCATTGGGTAATGGCGTATTCTCATCACTTAATATGGTGTCAACTTGAGCTGTGTTTTTATCAATGTTTCTATTTGATAAATCAATTTTTGCCTTCTTGTCACCATTTTCTAAGTGCTCGAATGATTGGCACCTTTCCGAAATAGATGGCCATGAATTTTTTCCCTCTTTATACTCCTTCACTGATTCTGCCTTTGCCTTTTCCTCGATAACTGGTCTTTTTCTTAGGTCCTCAATTTTAGGACTTTCACTATCGAGTTTATTCCCCTTTTCTTTGTGATTAAGGGTTTGACTTCTCTGGAGAAGAAATGATGGTGTTTCAGCTTTTTTTGTATCATTAGAATCTTCCTTACCCTTCTGATTTCTAGTCTCTCTGTTGCTAATATTAGAATTATTATCAGCAGATGCAGTCAAATTTCTTCTCCATGGGACTTTGGCAATTGGTGATATATATGCCTTAGGCCTTTCCTTAAAAGGAGCAGCCATTTCAGCATCCAATTTTAAAACCGATTCTTGACTTATAATTGGCATAGACATTGGTCTTGCCTTCTTAATACTCCCTCGAAGTTTCACAATATTACTATCAGAAACATTATTCGAATTAGTCTCAAACTCAAGTCCTCCTTCTTTTCTTGGCTGTAAAGGTTTATTGCTTTTTATTTCTTCAACTTCTTCTTTCAAGTTTTGACACAACTTTCCTTCAAAGAGGTTTGACAATCTTTTTTTCCCAATTTTATCTCTAGAAGTGTGTCTGAGTTTCACACCAAAAGCAGTGAATACTGCCAATTCTTCCTCTGGTGAAATCAGTGCTTCTGATAATTTTATATCATGAATTTCCTGAATATCATGTGAAACAATACTACTACCGTAGTTGTTATCAGTGTTTGCAACTGAATTCTTGCTTGTGCTTTCACTAGTTCCATCAGGACCGCGTCTATCTTGATAAATATAATGTTTGTCCTTAGGAGTGGCATCAACTAACTCGAGAGGGTCTACGGAAGCTCGGCGCATCCATTGTTGACGTACAGATCGTGGAATGATATGCTCGTAAATTACATTGTCACTGGCAACGGGCAATTTTTTCGCTGTAAATGCCATACTTAAACAGTTACGAAGCGGCTTTAATAAGGGCACTAACTATTGTGAACTCAAACGCAATTAGGCCCACTGATCGGAAATGAAATAATGGCCCTGCTCCCGAAAATTTCTTTCAGCTAACGAGCTCTGGGTGTATGTAATTTACCAGTATTTAACCAGAATTCACAGCTCTTGTGAGATATTTCCATGCAATAATACAGTCTGAGTGACGAATCTTGAAAAATTTACGGTTCATTTACATCCCACTTTCCGTAATCCATAGCAACAGAACAGGACACAATAGTGAACAGTTATCTGTAAAACGTACTTGCAACAGCCTCTGCCAATAAAATTCAAATGCATAAATATCTGCTAGTCTGCCTGTTCACGATTGTAATCCTTCGAAAAATCAACTCAAAGACTAAGGGTTTACAACTTATGAAGTGAACGCCATTCCACCATTAATATTTTAACAAGGGAGTGGACACAGGGGACCTTAAAACCATAAACAATGTCAAGTGCTGATTCAGTTCAGCCCCCCTCCCTAAACAACTTTTTTCAACTGAGTTCAACAATAAATGCAAAGCAACTTTTGCAAAGTGCAAAACTACATGCAAGGATATCGCGATAGTATGGCTCTATAGGGGGGCCTCAGGGTGAGGTGGGCGAGGGCTGTATGGTAGAGGTGGTGCGGCTGTTGTACCCGAATTTTCCTTATTTCTATTATGTTGTAACTGAGTCCAACTGAAGGTACTTTAAAAGGCTACTACTTGGTTCTACAAAAATCCAAGCTAAAACAAGTAGATGATGATCCCTCTCTTCAAGCATAAAAAATACCCTTCAACAGAAAATAAAATTTATTACCAATATCAAACCGACATTTTTTCTCACCAAAATTTTCGAACGCTAGAAAAATTTATATTTTATCGCTTTATACCGATGGACTTTCAAAAAATAAAAGGTACAAAAACGGAACAGATGAAAATAAAAAGGGGTCGGCTGAAGTTCGAGGCTTCATCTTTCCTAAAGAATGAGAATCAGGTTCTGATCAAGAAAAGGTTTGAACTGAATTGAAATAGAAACAGAAGATCCGTTTCAAGACTTTTCTAAATTCCATAAATTGGGTTGACATTAAAATATTAATAATGTATTGAAAATAGAAGTTAATTCATAACGAAATTTTAAAAATATGACCGAAATTTTTTTCATCGAAAATTAATCCATTGAACCTCCTGGCGCCAAATTTTTTGGCACCAAGGCCTGTTTTCTGGCGCCAAACTACATTGCAAATGTGAGACACATCATGTATCAAATTTGCTATAACCTTTTTAGTCAAAATTGAACAGCGCGTTGGCGCTCTATCATTACAGCAGAAAGCAATATGAAACTAATGATTTCATTAAAACTGAAGCTAGGCATTCAAAAACCAACCTTGACACTTAAATACAATACTAAGATTTCAAAGATAAAAGGAAATCGCTACCTTTTGTTTCCTAAAACCTTAAAAAGGAAATGTGCTGCATTTTATGTTTTGACTTGCACAGCAAAATGTTACCAAAGGAGTCACAAAAGCAAAAAAATATTATAGACAGGCAAACAGATATAAGAATGATTGCAAGAGATATAATTGAGGTTGATACAGGCATTTCTTAGTGAAAAATCTCAAAATGCGGTTTTAGATAACAGCAAGTCAAATTCAATTCCTGTGCTATCTGGGGTAACTCAAGGCTCCGTATTGGGCCCAGCCCTTTTCTTAGCCACAGTATGTCAAGCATAGCACTGTGCGATTATTTGCCGACGATAACTCATTGAATTTAACCATTGCTGATGAAAGGACTGCCAAAGGATGCAACCAGTTGACTTTCATAACTTGGAACGCTGGGAGAATGAGTGGCAAATGTGTTTCTATCCTGATAAATGCCAGGTATTATCAATATCAAGAAAATGAAATTCTATAAAGTATACATATAGGTTAACAATACCATATGTTAAACACCTTGGCCTGGCTGTCACTATAGTAATATGCTATCACACATGATATGAAATGGAACAATCACCTAAACAATATTACTGCACCTGCCAATAGAACGCTTAGCTTTGTGGAAAGAAATTTAAGAGTCAGTTCGGTGAAAGTTAAAGAGCAAGCATGCAAGGCTTTAGTCAGGCCTAAGTTGAAATACTGTGCAACGGTTTGGGATCCTAAGGCAACATCAGACGATTTCACAGGGTCAATGAGAAAACATTGCATAGTTAATCAAATTGAAATGGTTAAGCACCGAGCTGCGAGATGGGTGACAGGACGTCATAATAATACATCCAGTGTTTCTGAAATGTTCCAATCACTTGGATGGCGCAGTTTATAGCAGCGCAGAGTTGACGCCAGGCTAGCAATGTTATATAAGATCGTCTGGAATATATACGATTAAAAATTGTATGGAATACTCTGTTAGAAATGGGAAAAAATACAGCTTCATACAAAAACAGATCATTTTAAGTTCTGATTCCTGCCACGCACTATCATTCAAGATGTGAGAGACAGCTTTGAATGTTTTCAAGATAGAATGCAGGATATGGAACACGAAAGATTTGTATAATGATAGGTTAAATTTATCATAGAAAAATTTTGTTGTTGTTATTTAGTTATTTAGCTTATGTGTAGCATGAGTGCGGGTTGATGGGTGGGTAGGGTCCTTGGTTTGCGGATGGGCGGTTGCTGCCCTTTGGCTTGATCTGTCCCAATAATTGTGGGGCAGCGGTTGTGTCTAAGGACCAATAGGATTGCCCCTTTGTCAAATTTCCTTAATTGTTACTAATGTTGTAGCAACATTAGCACCTCTTGTTCAATAGAAGTTTGGAACTCTATTTTGTTTCCATTTTTTTGACAGCCGTTCTTTTGGCTCTTTGGAATTTTTGCTGTCTCCGGTTGTTATTTAGGCGGCAAATGGGGCTGTGGGCGGTGGCTGCCTGTCTGCGGGTTGGGGGTCCTTTCTGCTTGTTTTCTTGTGCTCGTGTTCTATACATGTACGTGTGTTATGTTAAAGGGCCTCTCCAGCCAACTTGCATTTTGCACTTGCATTTTATTGGCTAATCTAAAGAAGTTGAACCTGCTGATCACGAAGTCATTATTTGTTTTTTTGATATTTTTTACCGTTTGTGAGATATAAGCTCTTGCATTTCGATAATTGAATTGAATTAACCGACAAAAATTTTTCGGTTTGGTGACACTGTGACGCAATTTTGACGTCACAGTGTCACCAATTTTGACATATTTCGTTAGTCTCGCCTCAAACCGAATCGAACGACGGCGATTCGCAAATTGAACACTGCAAGTAATGGTACTCTCAGTTCTGTTCCACCGACCACCGGCTTTTAGTTTGAACATTTCAGATATCAATTCTGAAGCCTTTAGTTGTTCATCGTTTCTGGAGTGTCAATTTCGATTAATTATACGCGAGGGAAGAGCTGGAACAGGAAGCCGCAGCTTTGTAGGCCTATACAGGTGATCAAAACAAAGTCGTGACACAGCATGGACACATTCCGACCCGCAAACTTAGAATGATTGTAAACATTTAATATTTTTCGATCCTAAAAAGCTCCTGCTCTAGATTTAGATGCCGTTATGAACGCGTGACCATGACTCCTTCACGATTCGGTGAAAGATATACGAAATTCATGGCGAACGAGAGCCGCACATTGTGACGTCAGAGTGTCACAAAACTGATTCGGCTTTTGTCGTTTTTTTCTCGGAAAGGTGCAACTTTAAAGCCTTATAACTTCTAAACTAATTGGAATTTTGCAAAAACAACGACTTTGCCAAAATACACGCACCAGATGCTGACTTTTCAGTCAATAAAAAAAAAATTTTTTTGGCTGGAGAGGCCCTTGAAGCTTCTTTTTAGAAGGCAATCATTATATCGGTAGATGGACAAGGAGTGAAATGCAGCCTTATTACAACAGGATTCAGAAGAATAAAGATTGGCAAAAAATCCAGCTAATTTACAAAGCACGGACAATTGGAAATAGTCGTTCAGTCTCAGATCAATAGGCTGCTGTGGAGTAGGCCTATCGTAATTTTCTTCACATGTATCAATAAACTTGTGTTGTGACTGGACATTCTATTCTACTAGTTTGCTGTCCAAACTATGTTCGTAGAAATCATAATGTCGTTGGGCAAATACAATAAGAAGGCGTCTAAAGTCAAGTTGCTATCCTAGTTGTATTTCTATGCATGAATGTCTCGTTTACAATATCGCATGGCACATCCATGAATCCCATGTACGGCCGTGTTTATTTAAACAGGCTTATTGATCTTAAAGCTTCAAGTATCGAGACGCGGATAACATTGTGGATTACGAGTGTACCTTGCAAGCGCGATCAGTAAAATCATGTTTTCTCCGGACTCACAAATCGTCTACATACAGGTATGAAGAAGCTATTCTGTACCCAAGGAACAAATCAAATGGTTAAAAAATTTGCACACGGCCAGGACAGATGTCGGGTAAGTGTGTCTCAAAATTTGTGTATTTGCTCTGGTTCGTCTTTTATAGCCAATTACAGCTTTGAGAGGGAAGAAATACTGTTTGCCAGATTTTGACAGGGTACAGTTTCAAGGGGAGGAAGAATTTCAAAAATTTGAGACACTCTTTGATAGGTTAGGATCTGCGCTTTCTGCTGATATAAGTCAGATTTTGATATCTCAAACGCAGGGGTACAAAATAGCTTTTGAAAATGGCTTTGAAAAAAGCAAACATTTTACGACATACTAAAAGCTTTTAGTATGTCGTAAAATGTTTGCTTTTTTCAAAGCCATTTTCAAATTCTGTACCGCAAAAAAAAAGCTTTTGAAGGTGGTACACTCATTTGAGCAATAAATTCGTTTTGTGAAATAAATTTTGTCAGTACAGCAGCATTTCTTGGAGATAAATTTTTTGGCCTGGTTATCGTTGGTTGTATTTCTAATTTGTATGTGAGTGTAATTTCGTTTTCTATATTTCTCATGCTGCTTTGCCAAACATATCTTGATTGTATATCTTTAAGATACACCTTCAACGCCGAGCCCTACATCCAAAGGATACCGACTGCCTTTTCGCGCCAAACTGAAACGAGGCAATCGTCCATTGGCCTAAAACAACTTTAACCGTCTTCTTGGAGATGCCACAAAGAACGAAGTGTTGAGCTTAGAGTCGATTTTCCTTGCAAAATGAATTGAATTGGGATGTCACGTTTTTGATAGTTTAAGTTCGTGGATACATAATGGCTTCATTTCAGCCCAATTTATTGGCTCAATATGGTGAGAAGTTACGTCGACTTGTCGTCGTTTTTGTGTTTGGCCTAATAAATATCCTTTTTGATGATAAAAATTTCAAGAGACTTGTACCCTTCCCATACACCATTTTTGTGCTAATGGCTTGATAGTCTTCGTAAAAATAAAGATTATGGTCTTTTTTAAGTTAAATTTTGCAAAAAATTAACACTTTTTAGACAGTGTTTGTGGAACTTTCCCTTGATCTCTTCGACAGCATGAAAAATAATCCTATCAGCTAAGATTTACAGTCGGGTTTCATTTCTAAAAAACTGGGTTCAGATTTACGAAAAGGTATGCTTTAAAAATCATATCGAATCATCTCGTAAATTCAAAAAAATTAAATTTGTACCGTAAAAGCGAGCCTGACTGCAGGCAAGTATCCGGTTTTTTTTCTATTTGCATAGGGCAAATGAAGAATTAAGTTTCCTCAAGACCAACATAATCTTGCATCTATTTATTAACAAAAAATGTTCAGTTGTGTAAATTTTCTTATTTTCATTCATTTTAGCTTCTAAATTATTTGGGTGATATAGTTTGGTTCTAGAATATTTGTGGGCACTAAGACTAGAAACTTTGTTGTGCACCTGCAATAAATTGCCCATGCTTTTGCATATTCCAAGCCCAAGATCCCTAGATGATAACATTTAAAATTATTAACTATAAAAATAACTAAAGTGAATCCAGACATGCACTCTCATATTTTCAAAGTGAACTTGTCCATACAAGAGATAAAGTGATCACACTGGATGGGAATTGATGTGCAAAACTTAAGTGCACACTTATACCAAAGAATACACTTGCAAACTTAAAAATTTGTTCTTGCATACCTAAAATCACTTTGGAAACCACTGTACTCTGCAGTCCATTAGGCAAAAAGGGGTTTGTTTGCTGACCAAAAAAGAGTTTGTAGGATTTTTGGATACACTGCTGTCAAATCTGGAGAAAACTTACATGTTACATCATGTACATGATGTACAGTATAATTTTGAAAATATAATCTAAATTTTGTGTTCTGATATTCAAAATAAGCTGGGGGTGGTACATAAGGAATACAAAAACAAAACTTCATCGATATATAAATTTATTTTAACCAGCAGAAGAATTGCCAATTTCAGCCTAAAAAAGCCACCTATGTTGTTTTTATTTCATTTCTCAGTTATTTAACTAAATTCTTCTCAGCACAAGTGTAACCCTTCAGCACAAGACCTGGTTTTCAAGTGGACCTCCTTTAAAACAATATTAAAATTACAATCAAGTAAACTAACAGAAATTAACTTAATCTGTTTAAAAACTTAAATGCAATCTAAAATCCTATTTCCAAGAAAAGTTATAATTTAGAAACCTAAAAGATTTTCTCTAGAAAGGATTCCTGCCTACCTTTGCCAAAAGGCCATTCCACAACTGTGCTCCTCTGTAGGAAATGACTTTCTGTCAAATTGATGTCTTTTCCTTGGGTAGCCTCAGGTCTGCCCCTGTTTTTTAGAAGTTGCAAGTGGAGCACTGTGGTGCCAACCTATTCAGAGATCTAAAGACCATTATTTGGGACTGGTTTCGAATGAATGGTTTTCCAACACAGGCTTGCAGCTGATTTGTTCCAGCAGGCCATGCCCTGAAAGGCCAGCATTTAAAACGCACTCTGAAACAACCATGGAGTGTGATTTATTGAGCACCTTAAAATGTAAAACGATATTGCCAAGAAGAAAAATGTTATTTTAAAATGATGATTTTTAAACTTAGCCATTGTTGCAAATGAGGGCAATGTTATGATTCATAAGATTTGTACAAAAGTTCATACCATTTATTTTTTGATGACATTTTATACTCATTTATACCCAGTTCCATTTAAGGCCACTTCTGCAAAAAGCATTTTCAAATGAAAACATAATCAATGCATCAAAAATACACACATATAAACATAATTTGAGAGTTGATCATCTGAAAATGCAATGATATTTACAAATGCATTGATTTTATTTTGACGTAAACCTTTGATTTGTTTTCATAACAAGAAAACACAAACTTTTGAAAAGGTATTTGTGTAGATATCACCCGAGACCTGTTCACATGATGCTGTATACAAATAAATATCACACAATATATCATACCAAGGGCCCTGGAGTGTGGTGCTATTTATGCTCAATCCCTATTATTAATGCAAAAACCGAGCCAATTTCTATTGTAGCTACTATTTTTGGAACATTTTACACTCCTCCTAATGATACTCTCAAGACAATTTTATTTATGGAGTGCCTCAAGTTTTTTTGAAGTTCAATTATAGAGCACCTTCATTTTGCTTAGAGAAAGGCCTGTTCCAGTTGACTTTGCAGAGCCCCAGAAAGAGTAACAACATAACTTATATGGGGCTGAATGCAGAGTTTTCAAAGTATTCCTTGGCAAAAAGTTTTTGCATGTTTTAGAACACCTAAAGCCATAGAAACTTTAGCAGAAAGAGCTTTGATTTGCTCTTTCCAATCTAAGGAACAGTCAATTTGCAGACCCAAGCTACTTCACTTTTAGTGCAGAATTTCAATTTCAGAACATCATCCCAATTTTAAAATATGTTATGCTTTTGCTTGGTTGTGACCAGCATGGAGTGTATTTTAATAAAATTCAAAGATAGTTTGTTTTTTTGCAACCAGATGTAAAGTTTTTTGGGGGAATTACTAATTGCCTAGATATATATTCATATTAAAATCCTTTGTCATGTCATCTCCCATAACTGCAGGGGAATGATCTTGCCAGCAAACAACATGCAGTACACCATAGCATTTGAAATTCTTAATTGAAATGCAAACAGTTTCTTCCAAAGGCCATGATGATCTTAAAGATTTTCCTACACCATTTTTGCCAAGACTCTAAACTGGTCCCAGAAGGGTATTTTTTTAACATCACTTTGTTCTTAAATTGTTCATCGCTATTTTTAATAAGTTGTTGGTTGAGAGGCTTAAAAACAGAGTTTAAGCAGATTGGTGGAAGAATTTTCAAACACACATTACAAATTACAAATAATTCATTGTCAGAAAAGGTCTAAAGGAATCAAATTTTAGCTGAGCTCATTTCAAAGATAAAGATGGAGGAATGTTGGAAGTAAGACAAATTGTTTGGGTACAGAAAGGAAAAGCTTCAATAATGTATGCAGCTAATTTTTTCAAGCTCCTTACAGCTTAAGTTCTGAAGAAAGTTGATCATGAATTATCACAAATTTCCAAACTTTCAATGTAGCAAGTTTCCTCGTAAAGTTTTTAGGATCAAGAACATTTGGTAAAGTCATTTATATGCTTTCAAGCAAATGGTTGCCAATGAAGTGCCCTTATAGGTTGTCCTGTTAAATTATTTTATGATTATTTTTATTTTTTTCATTATGCCAAACTGAATTCTATCTTCTTCCAGGAACACTTCTGCTTGTTGTTGCTGGCATGTCCTGGTTTACTTCTTAAAGCCAAGTAAAATGCCTGTTTGTTTTAGAGCTAGCCATAAGCTTTGAAATAAATCTCAACTGCAATGCTAGCAAAAAATTCAGAAAATATGCTACTCTGGCATTAGTTTAATTAAGTTATGCTTGTCAATCTTTCCATCAGATTACCTGGTATTTTTGGCAGCTTCTGCTCTTTTAGGGTATGCATGACTCTGTTTGTATTGACCACCAACGGAGATGCTATCTTTTTTCCAAACTTTTGAGCATTTGCACCACCCCAAAGCTACTGCCTTTTTAATTTTTACTGAAATAAACTTTATTAAAACTGAAAAAAAATTTGATAGTTGTTTGGGGTCATCACAGAGAAAGAGAGTGAAAGATGAAGGAAAAGTTTATTAGTGCTCAAAAGTGCCAATGAAAGATAAACAGTGAAGAAAGTACCATTGTGGTGATTGCACTATTGATTGTGCCCGGAGGATGAAGTGATGATTAATACAAATTACAACTTACAAGGGTCATCAAAAAATTAAATATTAAAATATTAAAATAAATTTAAACTGTACTTCAAATAATATTAAAAATAAATGCTTAAAATAAGTTTTTTTTCTTAATAAGGGTGCACTGAATTGGAATCAACTTAGTTGGCTGCCATCCTCTGCCCCAACAAGAAGGGATTTTCATCTGACAACATTGCTTAAATGGACAATTTTTTTCAGTTTCATTATCCCATGTTATTATCTTTTGGTCAAAACACACCTAGTTGTTTTTGACATCTTATTGGTTAGTCTCCTGTTTTTGTCACATCTTTTTTCAATCACACATTAAACTTGCACTTCTAATTTGCAGCTCTCTTTAAAATTTAAATGTGAAAGGATTGATGAAATGAGAGGATCAGAAATGAGAGGTCACAGGCATGATCCGATCTCACTTTGAATGTACTTCTATTGAAAAACATGACCCAGTTTTATTTACTATTTGTTCTGCGAAACCATTCAAATCATTTGTCTTTTTCAAATGAATTTTGTTGTGTTGTTTGTTCTTGTCCTCACAAGGAAGACTGATTTTCTTATGCAAAATAGGCAAATTTGATTGAAGTGACTACCAGATGATTTTATCAGAATACAAATTTTGTTTAAAATATTGCTCCTTCAGACAAGTTACAAGCAGCTGGAAAATAGCTACATATGTTCATATCATTTCTTTCCTACTTTTTAGATGAACATTTCAAAGCAAGACTCTTAAATGACTATTGTCCATTATTCTGGCACAATTTTCCTGAATGGGTGAGTGCTAAATTTAGATTTATATAGACTTAGATCCTTGTCCTAATATTCTCAATTTTTAATCATATAACTAGGAGAACTGATAAGTAATTTTGTGTATTATTCTGTCAACAAAAAATCCATTTGTATGTCATTTGGTGAATGGCTGGCCAAAAGCAAGAAATCAATTAGATAAACAATTCACCCTCTCATGTTTCTTCCAATGTACATTTGGATGTACTTTTCTATACAATGTTTTGTCATTGTCTGAATTTTTAAAGCCTGAGGAGAGTTTGGCAAAAACTGTGCTTTTGTATGATGCATGCTCCTTTGTCTTGTCTTTTTGAACCAGTTAACCTGTGTATCTTTAAGTTTTAGATGCAAAAGTTTTTTTTGGAATTTGGAGTTGTCGTTAGATGAAACAATAATAGATCATTGTTATTTGAATTTTGAAAGGTCTTGAATGTAGCAATGGTTTCTAATAATTTTGCATAAATTTCTTTTAATCTGTGCAGTAATCATTTTAGTTATTTGCATAATAAATATATTGGAAGTGATTCATATCAAATATCTGTAATCTCAACAGGATAATCAAGCACTAAGCACAGTCAGCCATAAAGTCTTACAAGTCTTCCAAACATTCCATGCAAATATTCTTATTCATGCAGCTGATGGAGTTTCGGAAAGGTAAAATTGTTTGATAATAAAGTGAATTACCAAAGTAATTATTATTCTTACATTTTATCAAATTGATTGATGATATGTACAAAGAATTCCAAAGTGATTCAATTTTGGTATCACAATTACTATAATTTATCTTCTTTATCCTCTCTGTTTCCCTTAAAAAATGAATGATATTTTGCCCTGGTTTTAAAAATTATGAAACACAACAAAACAATAGTTATCTCATTGCAAAATCTTCAGATCCTTCGTTGGATCCTTCCCAGTTTAGAAAAGCTTTAGCTGATTAGATTGGCACTCCTAGCTTTATCTCCTAGTTTGGAAGATTGATTATAATCTATGCATAATGATCAAAATTTATGCATAGATTGTTATGCATAATGATTATAATCTATGCATAATAATCTATGCATTCTGTCAATTTTGCAACAGTCTATATTCTGTAGATAAATTGTAGTAAATGCTTTCTGTATATTACCTACTATCTCGTTTAGGCGGGATCTGGCATTGGCAAGAGCAGCGCTGCTTCTTAATGAGACCAAGGATTCAAGGCAGTTTATCATTAATTATTTCATCGCAGCTTTTAAATGTTACAAGTCAACATCAGCTAAAGATCAACAAGGTATATAATGTCAATAACTTGTTCTTGAAACAACCTATTTTTGTTACAAATCATTTATTTGCCATGGTTTAGAGGCACCTTTTTCTGATAAGTGCGGAATTATAGGTATTAGTTTTTGAAAAATATGCGGAATTAGGGGCACCATTTTGGAAAAATATTGCAAAATTATTTGGAGGGAAATTTAGCATTAGCAAATGAATGTCCAGTTTGAAAAAAGTATGAAATATTTGTAACATTGAGATTTTGGGGAAAAGGACATACAAAATTTGCTTGATCAATGTAAGTCAAATCATGGTTGTTTTTTCTTTGCCTTGTGGAATTATAGGTATAGTTTTTATCATATTTGCGGAATTATGAGTCACAGACGCTTTTCGAACCAGTGTAAATATACGTTTTATAGAGGTGTCCGTTGTATACTGGTGACCGTGGCATAGAAGTTCCTTAAAAGGCGTTTTGACCGTTTATGACAAAATTATCTGCCCGTTGTTGAGGTTGTATAGTCTGCTAATAGAGTTCTCAAGTGTGACGTCACAACTATTTTTTTTAGAATTTTCGAATTTCGATCACATAACATGAAAGAACGCCATAAAATACTCCCATTCATGCAAAATTGGGTGAGCTATGGTCAATAGAAGATTTGAAGTTCGTTAACGGATTACTCTTATTTTGGCTCAGTTCAAAAATTCTAAAAATGGATTTTTGTGACATCATCACTTGACAACTTTATAGAGGTTCAGCTGTGAATCATGTCTAACTAGAATATTTTTAAAATGAATGCTTGCAAGATAAGGGAGAATTTCAAAGTATTCTCGATGGGCCAAGGAAAAATTCAGCAATTCTGTCAAGCTTGCTGCAAAGCAAAGCAGGACCCTTTTACCCCAATCCAAGTTTTACCTGTGAGTTTTCCTTTGGTTTGCTGTCAATCTTGCTCTCTTGTGGCTCAATAAATTTTAGTTAAAATTAAAAATGGGAACAGTCAAAATAAAGGTTAGACGATTACCGTTAAATTTAATGATAAGTTCGTAACTAGTCGTTCAGTTTGTAAACTACAGACATTGTTTAATCCAAGCAATTAAGGAAAAGAAAGTCAAAACAATATTTCTGTATTTCGACTTACATGAGATAAAACCCAGCTGAACTTTTACTCAAAATAATGCTTCATACACCAATATAATATTAAGCGAATAGCTTACAGACCAGACGGAAATGAAGGGGATTACCACTTTGTGGCGGGGAAATTTTGATTACCAGCTTCGAGCTCTTTATCAACTGGGGATATTGAATTGTGATTGTAAAAGGGGATTTTCCGCTGTTTTGGGGGTAAAATGGGGGTTAAATCAGAAGAAGTTCCTTCTTATCCTTTGCGAAGGAAAATCGTGGCTGGGATGACGTTTTTAACAAAATAAATCTGGTCTAAGCAGTGGAATATAAAGGATAGTTTATCTTTTTTGGTAGAAATACGTCTAAAGTAGTAAAATGAGCTTTAATTTGTCACGAGGCGTCTAATTACCCCCATGTCTTTATATGGATATCTTATTGAAAATGGGCAAAACCAAATCATCCTTTGACGTCGAAAATTCATTTTGGCATGCAATTGACTATCGAAACTTTAAGAAGGAACTGTCGTGGTATAAAAAGTATCAAACTATATGGTGTCTAACTAAAAAAGGGACTTTTTGTCGTTTTTATCAACCTACATTGACAGTATTGGTTGGTCTTAAAGAGTATTGCTATGCTAATACAGATAAAATAATCGTGGAATCTTAATGAGGAAATCAAGAGCTATAGCTACAAGTATGATTAATAGGTAGGAACAGCACAAACGACGAAAAGCAATCCATTACAAATGAATACGATGTAATGAACCAAAATTTAACAATAAATTATAATTTAGATAGGACTTATATTTCTTAATTGTCTTTCTTGACCCGTAAGGTAAAAAAACTTCTCTTTTAAAATCAGCATATGAAGCTGGCGTTTTTTCATTAGCATGCTGCGGACGGATTATTGTAGAATGAAACTCATCTGCGACATACTGTGACGCCGGAGAGGGGGCGCCGGAGCGGGGGCTTCTTAAAGTTTTGATAGTCAATTGCATGCTAAAATGAATTTCCGATGTCAAAGGATGATTTGGCTTTGCCCATTTTTTATAAGATATCCATATAAGGACATGGGGCAATCAGACCTAACGCCATTTCCGTCTGTTCTATTAAGGCTACGTTCACACTACTCCGAATATTTTCTCTCTGTTTTCCCTCCGAGCACGTAAATTGACCAGGGGCAGACAAGGAATCCAAGGGTGCAGGCAAAGAATCCCAGAGGGTAGAAAGGGAATCCCAGAGGGCAAGCAGTGAAATCCAAGGACAGGCAAGGAATCCTAGGGGGCATACAGGGAAACCCAGGGGACATACAGGAAATCCCAATGGATATTTATGGAATCCCAGGGATATACACGGAATCCCAGGGGATTTACAGGAAATCCCAGTGGGCAGACGAGGAATTCAAGAAGAGCCAACCATCGTTTTTATATCGAATTTATTTATATCGTTGAAGTTAGGTTAAAGAAAAACGGGTAGAAATAAGCACAGTATGAAAGTATAGTGGTAGAATTTTGGCCTCGGATCCAGTTATATAGATTAAATTATTTCATCGAGGAGTCAATCCCTTCCGTGATAAAGGAAAATATTTCGTTATCAAAAAGGTAACAACGCAGCTTTCAAGTATTAGTCTGGTATTCTACAATACATAACTACTCTAATTTCTTCTTTCGATGTCTCAGCTAAAACTGAGCTTGTCCTTTGATGTTTCTGATGCGTATAAAAATAAATTCATTTCAAAAATTTTAGGGCCTTTTCGATTAAATGATTATTTTTGATAGATTGCGAAAAAGCCCATTTTCCTAGACTTCGCCTCGATTACTCTATCCTGCTAGTTATAAAATGCTTTAAATACTCCTGGTTTTAATTTTTTATCACTGCTGGATGTGGTATATCTACACTGAGACGTTATTTTTTGAATTTAAGGACTCGATACTGACAACGAATCAGAAGATTGCGATGCTTGCTCGAGAGAAAGTATTCTTTGCTGCTGTGATGAGATAGTCTCGAACTTTCAAGATTTGTGCTCTTGCTTACGTGCGCTTGGGCTACTGGAACACATAGCTAGCACATCTTTGGCAGCTGTCATTTACAGCCAGGTATGTAATCGTAATACCTCATCATCTGTCTACGATGCCATGTGTTGGCTAAATCGAATCAACCAGTCGCCCACTGGTTCAACTGAGTTGAACAACTAAGCGAATGGTCGCGCATTCGCAGCGAAAGGGGAAATTCAATTTGCGCATGCCCCAATGTGCATTCGCTCAGTCGCGCGACCAGTGCGAATAAAGTGGAAACCCGCCTTTACAGCTTGTCCTAAACATTCATTGTCATCAACCCTCCCCAAAGGCATTAGTTGCGATCCAATACCCACTTTCGCTTATCCCAAACAGGCATGCAACCTTTGGTCGTTATATTTTGTGTTTCAGATGAAAGAGTACCTGGAAGGCCTTTGCAAAGATGAGTTTCATAAGCACTTTTTGGTAGAAGCAATGCAGTGGGTGGAAGATCAGATAATCTCTTGGTTGAGACTTGTCATTGGTGATATAAATGGTTTGTTTGTCATGTGTGGTTTGTAAATCAGTGGTATGAATTCGTATCTCAACTTAGGTGATAAAAGGAAATTGGCTCGCTAAGGCGTGAAAAGAGATACGAGATCGATGCTCGCTCCTAATGTATTTCAAAAACATGCCTTGACCATACAAGCTTCTGGAACAAACAGAATGTAATTACCTTAATTTACCATCGATAATCTTGCTCTTTAATATTTGTGCTTGAGAAGGGATGTACGCAGTTTAACTCCTTGTAAGAGTTTATTTTCTAGCCGTTACTAAAGAGGTTTCTAGCACAAGGAGTGTTATCTCACATTCTTAGAAATTAGGGAATTATGTGCATAAAGTTATGATTTCTTTGCAGAGGGCGAAAGAGCGCTGGCAGCGCATATATTAAGTAATTAACCGCTGAGTTAAGGAGTAGCAATGTTAGATAAGATGTAAACATACCCAAAATTCTAGTTATCCTGAACTTTTGAAATGTTGGTTGTTTTTTAGCGTGATGATTATTTTATTAACCCCATAAAGACCGCATTACCAAGGAAGCAATGAAGTTCAAAACCGAAAGATCTGAGGAATAAAGCAATTAATACTTCTAGTAGTTATGCTGATCATGACTCGTTTTTCATTTGCAAAAATGTCAACTGATAATTTTCTATATCTTGCAAATAGTTCTTTCTTCGAGAAGGAGCTTTTCCGAGAAAGTCCTTTTACTTTAACCAATTTTCGTACTTTTCCGTACTTTAATCAATTTTCCTCTAATAGTTCCATTGTATAAGAAACTGTTTCCAAAAGTTCTCCAAATGAGAAATCATGCACACTAGCATTTACAAACCATAGCAAATTCTTTGGAATCGTAACTTTCTCCTAATTCATCTGCTATTGTTAAATTGTGAACTTGGTAAATTTTATTTTGAGTAGATTAAAATGAATCACATACATGAAATTTGGCTTTGAAGAAGAAGGAAAATTGCCAGGTTTAAGGCTAAGGAAATCCGAATGCAATTTACTCAGAAATAGTTGAAAACTGTAAAGAAAATTGTTACGAAACTTGAAGAACCAGCTGTTAAGCCCCCCTGAAGAAAGGACTAACTCTTTAGGTTTTTTCGGAAAAAACCAATAAAAATGAAGTTTTTAGAGAAGATTGTATTTGACTTTATTTACCCTTAAAGCGTTGAAAAATTCTCGTGAGTGTTTGACGATGATGCTTCTATGGCTATTAAACGGGCTGCTTTTCTCTGCTGTCAAATACCGTACTTTGTTATTTTCAGAAGATCAAGGAGACAGTCTGGAAAGCGATCTTTTGTCAGTGGAGTCATGGCGTCCAAAGCTTGAATATTTCCTTTGCAAAGTCTACGCTGAACTAAGGTAGAATTGCCTGTCCTTTGATTTCCTTTCGCAATTTAGATTTACTCGCAAAATCACTTATGCCTGCAACCAGGATAATATTTTCGGCACTGTGACTTGGTTTAAGTAATAAAAAATAAGCTATGCCATACCCTAAAAAATGTTTTCTGCTTATTCAAAGCTATACTATATGAAACACACTATTTTGTCGAGATTTCTCGTTTAAAACCTCAACCCCTCCCCGCCCCCTGCCCCCTTAACCTAACATGGCAGCTCTACAGCAAAAGACTCCGGTTCCCATTAGACAAGTGTAGAAGGGTATTAGTACTTTTTGGTGGTTCTGGCCAATGTTTATTTCCTATCCAGGTAAAATGCTGTGTTTTTCTCCTCAAGACCAGCACATACGAATGTCTAAATTTACCCTTTGTTTATTGTCAAAGATTTCTTTACAAACCGTTCAATTCAGTCATTGACAAAGAATGTAACTTTTTATCCTAGAATTGCTCAATTATTTGAAATCATTGTCGAGTTTCCAGAATCGCTCCCGTCTATCGAAGATTTGAGGGTGAGAATCTTTGTTTCTTGAACCTGGAACCTTGCCAAAATTCTTGGAATGCTAATGTCAATTTTCAAAGGCAGATTCAACCAACCCCCTCTCCCTCCGCCCCCTCGGAACAATGTTGGTTTATCATAAACCAGAGAATGAGAGTTTGGTTTGTCATAGCGAGCACGTTTAAAACTTGTATGATATTTGTCTAGATTAGCAACATTTTGAGGGGAAACGGGCGGTAGTAGTAATATATGAGAAAAGAAATGAAAAATATAATTTTACATCGCTTTATAATATTATATAATACTGAAAATATAATATTACAACAATATAGTATAAAAATTGCCGGGGTTCCAAGTAATTTTGGCAGCATTATAGCTAGATTAAATATCTGCATTGGTACGCATCTATTTCACCAAAGCGAATATCAACGAATCACTTGATATTCATCGCTACTATTTCTAGCAGCAAAGAGTTGTAAATGCTGATATTGGCCAGAAAGCTGTTCATAGAAAATCTATATTTGAGCGTGAATAACTGTTTTTCGTGTTTCTTATTTACGAAAAATGCGTTTTATTAAGTGTTAGCATACTAAATGAGTAACTGGCTTTTATTTTATCGGCAAACAAGATTTATTCCATTCATCGACCTTATCTTTAGCGATAAAATAATCCTTATCTTCTACACATAACGATAAAGCAAATCTTTCAGAAATTTTTGTAGGCGTTCTCCATTTAATAATCTCATCTTACCTTCATTTTTTTGTCGTTCGAAATTTTTCTGATTTTTTCTGGCTCAGATTGTTCTTCCTTGCCCAAGCAACAAACATTGTTACGATTATATTATACCCGGATCGCCATAGGATGAAGTTTTACATCTCCTTCTGGGCGTGTCTACCAGTTTTCTTTTATGGAATGTAGAATTTCCTAGACTAAGGGCCATTTTCTATGGGGAAAATAATCCCGTCTTCCAGCCTGTGAGCTGAGAGGTAAGATCCCACCCTTTTATAGAATCCTTTGTATTTTTCGCCATGTGTTTATATCGCAAACAATTAATTCCTTCATGAGAGATGGTATCTCACGGGGATTGAATAAATTGTTTTCGTATGAATGCTGGGAGGTGGGGTGAGGCTGAAAGGTGGGATGAAATTTTCATGTAAACGCGATCAAATTTGGTCGCAATTTTTGCTCACAGGCTGGAAGGTGGGATGAGATTTTCATGTAAACGCGATCAAATTTGGTCGCAACTTTTGCTCACAGACTGAAAGGTGGGATGAAATTTTCATGCAAACGCGGTCAAATTTCGTCGCAATTTTTGCTCACAGGCTGGAAGGTGGGATGAAATTTTCATGTAAACGCGATCAAATTTCGTTGCAACTTTTGCTCACAGGCTTGAAGGTGGGATGAAATTTTCATGTAAACGCGATCAAATTTCGTCGCAACTTTTGCTCACAGGCTGAAAGGTGAGATGGAATTTTCATGTAAACGCGATCAAATTTTGTTGCAACTTTTGCTCACAGGCTGAAAGGTGGGATGAAATTTTCATGTAAACGCGATCACATTTCGTCGCAATTTTTGCTCACAGGCTGGAAGGTGGGATAAAATTTTCATGCAAACGCGATCAAATTTCGTCGCAACTTTTGCTCACAGGCTGAAAGGTGAGATGAAATTTTCATGTAAACGCGATCAAATTTCGTTGCAACTTTTGCTCACAGGCTGGAAGGTGGGGTGATTTTCTCCATATACAGCTGGAAAGTGGGATACAAACAAATGCGATGATTTCATCTCACTTTTTAGGCTAAATAGTGGGGATAGATTTTCTCGTATTAACAGGCCCTTAGAATGAAAAACGAAATATTACTTTGTCAATAAATGCACACCGCATTATTCAGAAAATCCTGCTTATTTAGTTTGACGAATGTTGCTCTTGTGCTATATTTTCTAATTTTCATATGATATTAAGAAAGAATGGTCACAAATATATTTAGCCAAAAAGAAAACATTTTACAACAAAAGTTTTTTATCTCACACACTTCAGAGTAAAAAATGTCAGAATCAGGCTGGAAAAGAGCGTAAAAGAAACTATGTACCATGTTGTTGATCTAAATAGGAAACATTTTTTCTTGATCTTTTTGACCCTGATTCTGATGTTTTCTATTCTGAAGAATATAAGATTAAGTTTGTTGTATTATATTGTAAAATGTTTGCTGTTTTAAAGCCGTTTTCAAATTTTCTACCGCCAAAAAGTTGTGAATAAACACCCATTTGAACAAACATTGAATCCCTTATTTGGGTCCATTAAATGAAAAGTTATGATGAAAATGTTCTCAAAGACTTTTGTTTTTGGCACATTTTACGTCTAACTGTAGTAATTGAAGAACGAAAATAATTCTAATATCCTGTTTTTGCTTATAAGGAATGCCTAGAAAAGACTGAATCACGAAGCCTTTTGACGAAATCTTTAAAAGAAGCGTAAGTTAAATGCTTTTTGCATTCTTGGTCGTAAACGAGATCGGATTTGCTTTTTTATTTCCTAGGTACCTCAGTCTTGTCTATATTCATGTTGCTGAATAATATTTTGCTTCCTTTTACTCGTTTCCTTTCTTTATTCTATATATTGTATCGATATAAGAAGAAGTATATTTTGCTTTATCTAGCCCGTCGTCTGCCTGTGTGAGAACGCAGTAATTGAATAATGCTACTGATTATCAGTGTATTTATTTATGTTCCTTCCTACGAATCGGCCTATGCAAGGGTCACGAAATTTGCTATGCTAGATTTTAAAGTATGCTACTCTACTATCTTTCAGCTTCAGAAACAGACTGCTACAGGCTGCTGTAAATACTGTCGATATTTTGACACAGTATATATCCACCATACGGGCATTGCGTGCCCTTGAGCCGAGTGGAGTTATTCTCGAAAACGTTTGTGAGCCACTTAGAGAGTACCTCAGGTGAGGAAATGCACTGTCTTATCATAGTCATGGTCTTTATGTACCTTTTTCAGAATGGCATTCTCGAAGTTGCATTGCTATTGATATCAAAGTACTGGATGACGTCACTTGAGAAGGCAAAATATGCAAGCCTCAAATATTCAGCGTGGCTAGGCTTGGATTTTCTTTATTTGTCTCCGTTTCAAAGGTTATTCATAGAATGATGTCTGATTTGACAAAATTTGACAATATCTTTCATGACTTTTCAGAAAACATTTCAGATGTTAAATTTGTTTTCAATAACCAAGACGCCAATTTTTAATAAGTTGGTCAGTCTAAATTAGAAAATGCTGCATTAATATTTAAATTTTGAAGCCAACTGCTTGTTTATTCAAAGCAATCAAATAGATCTTAGTCAATTTTTAAGATATTTATCTTTTATTGTTTCTTTACAAGTGTTTGGTACCGCAAAAATTAAAGTTAGCACGAGATACCCGAAACATAGCATACTGAAGACTTTTTGGCCCGACACTCTCCAGAGTAGAAACATCGGATAGTGGCTGAAAGTTCATATTCGGGTTATTCTCTGAAGAATGTCGGACGAAAAGTGCTCTAGTATGCTAAGTTCCTGTTATTTCGTGCTTTCTTCAAATTTTTCATCTGTTTTATCTGTAATTTCATTAAGCAGCTGGGTTCTATTAAATCCAAAAGAAATGAGAAGGCTTGATATAAATTTGATTCCCTCAAAGTTATTATTCATGCTCGGTAAACAATTTAAAATCTCGGGAATAAATTACAAAATTTCAATCATAAGAGTAATTATTCGTCAGATAATTTCAATGGGTAAAAAATATTTCGTGTCCTTATTAGTTGATTTTCTACTTTAACTGTTTTAGCTATTGTTAAAGATTATTATTGAGCTTTTTAGTGTGATTTTATGTTTTTTTTTGTATTCAAGTAAATTCTAGAAATTGACGATTAATGTTTTGATAATGTGGACAAGAAGATCTGTTTCGCTTTGTCGTGTAGGCCAAGTTGTCGTTTCGCAAATTGTTATGGCGAAATTTTTGCATGCCTTAATTTTAGTCAGCTTTCTCTTAAATATGCCTTTAATTCCGCATGATTTGAAAGAGGACGAAAGAGCGGAGACATATCGTATCATACTAATGTATTTTTCGAAGATATGTTTCCGCTCTTCAATGCTATTTTCAAAGCTTTCCGCTTCTTGATATCCAGTTGTGTTATGTGCCAACATCTCTGGAAACTGCAGCTTTTTAGTTTGAATGCTACTTTCTATTAAGATTGTCATTACATATCCGAATTCTCCAACGCATTAACACATTTTCAGAACCCGAGAAGACACTATCAGATGTATCATAATGAGCCTTACCGATCAGGATAGCGGAACAGACCTTGCCGAGGTATTTCAGTCTTCTTAGAGCTTTAGCAAGCAGTACAGACGTCTTTTTGCACAAACTCCTTGCCTATTGTGTCTACTTATAGTCCATCTACTGGAAGAAAGTCAACCCGGGCTGATTTTCACCTCAGCCACTAGAAAACTCTTTTAAGTGGAATTTTTGCCATTAGAAAATTTAAATCCAGCACGATTTCAGCTTGCTTTCTTATCAATGGTTGAAAGTTTGTATTTTGGATGAGGTCTGCATGCAAGCGTGCGGTTTTCTCAACCCGGGGCTTGTTTCCGCTATTTGCTCATGTACATAAAAATCTTTCCATACCTAATGAAGGGCCATATCTAAAAAGCACCCACTAAATCTAAACTGACACCTATTACATACAGGTTATCTAAGCTCTGTAACTAGCTGAGATCAAATCATCGATAATACTTTATACTTGATATCAAATACAAAGTTTAAGAAAGCAGCAAATTATGGTTTAAGGAAATGTTTTTGATTTTCTGGAAAAAAATAGGATACCGAGCTAGTTTCCTTTGCACCGATTAAAGACGTATAAGTTGTCGGTCATCGTTATAGATTTATGTGGTATATCACTTACAGGGTTTGTGTATATCCCTATCTACAAATATGTGGATAATAGAGCTTTTGATCACGTACAAGTATATGTATACTGTAGGTATTGGTCATATATCATAACTTGCACAGTAGAGTGAACTAAGAAAGCGTCTCTTTGGTCTTGATTACAGGAGTTGATTGCTAGTGAGCCGGTTCCTATCGATGTTGTTGACGATGCCGATTCCGACTCTGACGGCGAGGACTGGATGCCAGAGCCTGTTGATGCAGATATTGGCAAGTATAATTTATACCTATGATGCATTCAATGCGCAAACTATGCAAGCAAATGCAGGCTAAATAGTGGATAGTTGCATAGCCACTTCTAAACTGTAGAGGTGGGAAGATTCAGACCCATCAATAGGAGCACGAGACATGTTTTAGAGTTCTTTAGTGTGACCGCTTTGTGGGAGCAACATCAAGAAATAAGACACCTCTGGACAATTCATCAGGTGTCCTCTTAATGCTATTTTCATATAATTTACATCCATAAATGTTACATTTTCAGGGATGTCCTCTAAAAGCCAGCGGACATCGGACATCATAAGTATGCTTGTGAATATTTATGGCAGCAAAGATCTTTTTGTCTCAGAGTATCGAGCCTTACTTGCTGACAGAATTTTCTCCAGCTATTCCTACGATGTTACAAACGAAAGGCGTTATCTTGAGTTGCTGAAGCGTAGATTTGGCGAGGTCTATCTCCATTTCTGTGATATTATGCTAAAAGACGTACAGGATTCGCAAAGAATGAATCGCCATATAAAGGACCAGTTAGCAAAGAAAGATGACGAGACTGTGTCTGATGTTGATTTTGATGCATTTATTCTATCAAGCGTGTACTGGCCGGTATTCAAAGAAGATCAAGTAACTGCTCCTCCAGAAATTGAAAGGTGCGTTAAACGTCATATACAGTGCTAGCTGAGATCTTTATGAATCCTTTTACGCCTAGTAAGTGACTTGATTTTGTTTCAACCCTCAGTTTATGCTGTCACCTATTACCCATTAACCAAAGAATATTAATTGTTTCTCAATTTTAGATTTTGGTCCCTGCCAAAAATCAATAGACAATTTTAAAATCATTGCCAATGTTGGCTCCAGATAACCAAGGAATGTTTCTTGTTATTTAATTTTAGTCCCTACCAAAAAATTAATAGGCACATTGGAATTGATTGCCGTTATTGGCTAAAATCTTCAAAAGCCTCACGAACGCCTTTGTTTTGTTAAAGTTTTTCCAATGTTTTCCATCACAAAGCGCCGGATAACAAGAAGTATTGAGGTTTGCCTTTTTTAGCAATGTCGATTCTTAATGCCGCTTTTATTCTTGAAGAACTAGAAGTCAAGGGTTTTTGACCGAGAAATAGAGGTCAAGTTCGTGTGTTCTATGATCACTACCTAAATAACAATTTTTTGTTTTGGATACCAAAAGAAATAGAAGATGTCACATCAAGACACCTAGGGCAAATAATTTGTAAAAGAATTACATGTAGGCCATGTTGCATATTGCGTCGTCTTACAAGGGATTTTGAAACTGTCGCGTCACGAATTGGAACGAAGCTGTTGGGACTAAGATTAAAATCAGTGCGATTTCTGTCACTCTTGCTGAAGCTTTTTAACAAGCAAGACTTTCTACTTTTGTATCATGTTTATGTATCAAAGATCAGTCGAAAACTACTATGGCAGCAAAAGTACTGGAACTTACTTTGCTGGCTTGCAGACTAGCCCCTTTAAACCCACTCTGTCGATCTGGCTTAAACGAGAGTTGTTCAAGCCATTTTCTTGTGAATGGATAGAACGTTAGATTAATGATTGTAATATAAATTTATGATCTTATTTTCAAAGTTTTGAAAGATATGTTCGTGAATGTTTCCTCACATTTATGTGGTTGGTCCTCAGAAATATTTCAGTGTAATGTTTTTTTAATATCCTAGCAAGAATGTTAGCCTTCATCAAGCTATTTTCATTTAGAAGAACAAGGTCTATTGTGTGTATTTCATATAATTTTTCAAAGTATTGCCCAAAACTAATAAAAAGGTTGTTCAGAATAACCGGGGGAATAGGATGGTTAACAAGGTCATAGCCAATGACATCGATATCGATTTTCCAACAAGTTTCCAAAATTTCTATTATTTCAGATCGAAATCCAGTTGTGGCATAACGCTTTTTAAACACTAGCCAAAACAAATACGCGAAGTTAGTAAACAGGGAGGTCATGCATAGGTTCTGGTGTGTGGGGATTTTTCAAAAATAGATAAGCGGATGGTTTGTCTATTGCGGACAAAAGAGTATTTTAAGGCGCATAAATGTATAATACACCCTCATCTGAAATGTATTTTTGAATAGCGAATAAGCAATCAAACTTCAATTTGATCTTCGTATATGAATACATGAATTTCTTAACTAGGCTTTAATTCAATAGTGTTATGTCAATTAGTTTAATGTTTGAAAATATCTGCATAGCATGTTTATATATCCTTGCATCGTAATTGAGACATCTTATTAAAGGTCTGTTATTAAAGGTATGAAAGAATGGTCAACCAAAGTTTATTGCTAAAGAAATTCAGTCAATTGTTTTTTGTGATGCTGTGTTTAAAAGCATGTGGACAGTAAGAATTCAAGTTTGAAATAGAAAGATGATCTGAGTTCATTAGAATTATATTTTATTAATTCTTACAATTTTGATAATTTCGATACTAAGTTTTCTGTTCCAAGCTCTATAGTTTTTTTGTTCAGTCATCTGTTTTTTTATTTCAAATCATATCTTTTTATATTTCCATATATTGTGTTTTTCTAATGTACGGATTTTGCACCAGAAGTACAAAAGACCTGCAAAAAGGGTTAATCACACTTAAGCAAAAGATTTTCAAGACTTGTTTGTCATTGAGATCAATAAAGACAAACGAAATACACGCAGCACAACATGGAGACGAAGCACAACATGTGCGAAAAGCACAACATGGAGACGAAGGCAATGCTGTCATGACATCATGTAAACATATATGTGCTGACTATACTCTACACCCTCAAACACTTCACCCTCCAACACTGTATTATCTAGCACCCTATTAGAAAAACTTTAAAGCAAGTTGAATATTTTTTTTTGAAATCATAGTGTGATGAAATCTTATACAAAAGAATTTGAAACCCTGAAAGGAATGCGCACATTACAATGGGTGGGGCACCTTGGAGAAGTTGAACTTGACATAGAGTTAGAAGATGGGACAAAGTCTTTTAAAGTGAACCCTGGACAAGCAACGATAATAATGCTATTTCAAGACAAAGGTAAGGGTACTTCGAGAAAGTATATGCAGCTATAAACTCGCACCATCCAATGCTTGTTTAGTGATTGTAAGGATGGAGGGGTGTTTAGGGCAAGGGGTTTGAAACGAGCGTTGATGCTTGATTGACAGCCGTGTTGCTAGGAGGGAGAGAGAGTTAGTAGATTTCGGATTGCTGATTGGAGGAGGAGCGTAGAGGTAGAGTTAAAAGTTAAGTTGATCAGTTTTGTGGAAGAAAAGAAGCTTCGTCGAGATTTCAGCAAAGAAGTTTCACTTTATCCGCGGAACTTGTATTGTTTTGTGCGTGTCACCTTATCCGCGGAACTACATTACACGATCCAGTTTGTTTTTATATGCCTTCTCTCAAGCCTCGTCTTGATAGCTAATGTTTTTTCACTACTAGAAACGTTGACTACCTCGGAAATTTGTTCCGAACTGCAAATAAGCACGAGCGTCGCCAGAAGCAGGATTTCCTACTGGTTAGGCCAGGGTGTTGTGTCTGAAGTATCACCTGATGTTTTCAACGTTTCAAAATCATGCACATCATCAGTTAAAGGTAAGTTGCACTCCATTGCATCATTTTCAGAACTCTGTTTGTTTTTAATTTGATTACGATGATTCAAGTTGCCATAGATTCGTCATATTTAACTATGTTCACCTTAAAAAGCGCTCAGTGTCATATGAACTGATCCTTATCTGATCCTTATCAGTGTCATATGAATTGATAATTAGCAGAACCCGGTTTTTAGTCCATCTACAATGCCTGCCAAAGGTCTTGAACCACTAACGAGATTTTTTAGAGGCAAAGTCAGATATTCCTCTCACCCTTTGAAAAATGCTGGTTCACTACAAAATGGCGTAGGGGATTAGGCAGAACGTTTTTTCTTGTGACTTTTATGATATTTCTAAAATATCATTGTTTTGGGCGGTTGGGGGGGGGGGGGGGGAGTGCGGAAGTAGAAGTATTCACGAAAAGAATTGAATAATATAACAACACAAAGTAGCTTTGTATTTTAGCCTTATCCTTATATTTTAGCCTTATGAAAATAAAAAATATAGAAGGTTTTCCACAAAGCCTTATCTTTTCATGTAAAGATATAAAAGAGGTAAATACAAGAACTAAATGTAGTTTAATGCTTTTCTCTGAAATATGACAGCAGTAAAACAGGCATTGCAGATATTTTAAAGTAGCATATTACTTTATTCTATGAGTTTGTGTTTTCTCGCCTTGTCACCCTCACTTTCATTTGACAACCAATTGGTTCTCTATTTAAATTGTTTTTTAAAGAGCTCATTGCCTTCTCTACAATTAACGCTTTTGCTATCTAGCCTAGCTCCTGGACAAACAGAGATTTAGTGTAGCTCCCCAAAGGGTATACATAGATCTTCGTGGATTGTGCATGGATAATTTGTCTGGTCTGGTCTGGTCTGGTCTGGTCTGGCCTGGTCTGGTCTGGTCTGGTCTGGTCTGGTCTGGTCTGGTCTGGTCTGGTCTGGTCTGGTCTGGTCTGGTCTGGTCTGGTCTGGTCTATGATATGGTCTATGATATGGTTTGGTATTGTATGGTATGGTATGGTATGGTATGGTATGGTATGGTATGGTATGGTATGGTATGGTATGGTATGGTATGGTATGGTATGGTATGGTATGGTATGGTATGGTATGGTATGGTATGGTATGGTATGGTATGGTATGGTATGGTATGGTATGGTATGGTATGGTATGGTATGGTATGGTATGGTATGGTATGGTATGGTATGGTATGGTATGGTATGGTATGGTATGGTATGGTATGGTATGGTATTACGGAGGGAAAATGCTGAGGTGGAAAGACATGGTAGCTCACTACACTCTTTTTCTACAATTTTAGAATTTTGAGAAAATCGTTTTGCAATGGGAAAAATGTCTCTCTTAGACATTTTGTCCAGGTTTGCGGTACTAAGTTGCCTGTTGATCGCATTAAGCACAGTGAACAATATAGAAGTGTTCTGATCTACACGCTACATCATATTCAGTTTTGCCTATACATCATTGAGCACTTTACAGCAGAAAAGTTTACAGTGCTGTTAATTCTATGAATACGTATGAAAAATTGGTCTGTATTTTTGTAAAAGTTTTATCTGAATCATTAAAAAGGCGTAAAAAAATAATCACCGCAATCAAACATGTTATAAAATGCTCGAATAACAAAACTAGGCTTATTGGTAAGCAAGTATTGAATTGCAGATATTAGATACAGCACCATCAATTCACAAGATGCATTTGGTATTCCTTGCGTTGTCTTTTAGAAACTTCTTTCTACGAAGAAGATGATGAATCTATCACAGCTAGTGCTCAAAGTCAAAAAGACGAAGAATTGCAGGTAAGTCTTTTTCTATTGCTGTTTACTCGAAAGATTCAATTCTGTAATTATCCTATTCTAACTTTTGTTTACCCTGTCACTGCATCATGACATCATGACTTTTATGCTCCATAGAACTTTTTCAAATATTAAGTCCTTTCCATCAAAATCGTTGCTATTTCCTGCACTTTGTTAAAATTAGGTGTCTTTCTACAATATTGTAAAAAACGGCTTGCCTGCAATGTACGGTTCTCCTTCAATAATTTGCTATCTTTGTTAGCTGTAAGACCATAAACAGAAGTTGCTAGATCTATCGTCCTATTTTGCAGATGTACTGGTCCTATGTCGTTGGCATGCTGACCAATATTGGCGCACTTTCAATAGAAAGAATACATTCAATGTTGAAGATGTTCGCAGTAACAGGACCAACCGGGTCCCAATGCACTTTGGAAGATGTGAAGAAATTTTTAGAAAGCAAGGTGAAATCTGGGGAGCTTCTTTTATCTGGTGGTTTATACAAACTTGTCAAAAGCGAATGACTCAGGCTTATTTTGTTTCTTTCAGTATCGACTAACGGCCTGGTACCTAAAGCTGCTCCGCTTAGGAAATAGCTTGCAGATTCAGATATTTATATACCCGGTTATTATATCATTGCAATGCTCTTCGGATGACCAAATGAAACAATGAATGGCATGGAGTCCTACTTCTACGTCCTGTTTTATTACACGTTGTTTTTCAGTAAGCAATCTTGCAGGGAAGAGAAGCAAAGAATCAAGACTCTTGAAATTAACAGCTTAAAAAATCTGCTTAGCACTATGGAAGAATCTCGATAAATGTTGATTTTATTGCAATGTTGCACTCTGTGGTCCTAAATTATATGTACATGGTATTATGTAATGCTGAATCTTTTAAGATATATTTAGTTCCGGAAGAGGGCTTCATGAAAAAAAGCTTCACGGCTGTCGTGCTGTCTCATTGGCAGTTTCAAAAACTGTTCTGTTCCTGGTCAACTTGGTCGAGATAGCATTGATTATCTTAGTCTTAGTCAAGATAACAAGAAAAGTTTATTATCTTAGTCTAGTTAACCTAGCCTCTTATCTAGCCCCAAAAAGGGCAAAGTGCATGTTAAAGAGGAGAGTTTTTTGTAGCCAAGGTCTTGAGTCATTTTACTTCTTCAGCAGTTCCATGAAATATATCCTTCTGATTTCTGTTTTGTTTGAGATGGTCGCCATGACACAAAACCAGTCGAAAACTGCCCCTTAAGGGTAATGTCACAATAGATTTGATATCTTGATGATTGTCTTGATTGCGCATTTTTTGCTTTTATTATCCCTAGATAATCATTATTTATCCTTCTCGAACTTTTGAATGGTCCATCCTTCCATTCTTCTGCAATGCTTGGAAGTCTTTTCTTTCAATTGCCTCTAGAGGGATTCTTTCAGTATTCAAAGTGAACAGGATAGTGCTGCGATTCGAGTTCTTCTCAAATCTATCTCCAATCCAACCTAAATAGCTTGTGGTCGCTGTACGTCGAGGCCCATTTGAAAACAAGCGCTCCGTATGTATGCTCTTTCATTTGGTTTTCATCTAGAAAAGATATTATGGTGTTAAAAGCATGATTGTTTGTTACATTCTTAGATCATTCCTTAAACCGAATGCTATATCTATCCTGTATATATATCCTGTATCGTTGTTCATCATATGGTATTGTTCCAGACTCATGGGGTCATATCGGTATAGGGAGAGCCATATCGGCTTGGGCAAGAACAATGAATTTGAGGCTTTTATAACGGTTACAAACGCACCGAAGTCGCTCTTCTAATTTCTGGTGGGCCTAGAGTTGCTGGTTTGAATTTTTGTAATCCAAATTCCACAAATCTAGATTTGTAAAAGCTTGTTTGACTTTCAAAATATGATTTGGACAAAGCCAAAAATTTGGCTTATTTAGATTTATGTGAATAATTCTCAAAATTGGCCGAATATTTAAATTTTTTAAGCAGCTGTTTCGTTTGTTTTTCCTCTGTTTTAATTGGCTCTAGTGAAGCACCTTTTGTCGATCATTTCTTTTGAGACTTTTGGGTTTTCTTTGTAAAGTAAAACAAAGAAAGTGAAGTGTCAAAGAATATTCAATCAGAGGGTGTTCTTTATTCCAGATTGAATCGCTTGTCATAGTACCATAAGATCAATTGCATATTTGTGCATATCGTTTGGATTTAAAAGGCAAAAGACGATAGACCTTACAATTTCTGTTAGCAAAAATAATTGTTAAATAGGCTTTTAAAAGCTTATTCTTAAAATCTACTTGCTGAAAGAAAGTTGTCCGTGATATTTGTATGTTGTCCGTGAAGCAGCTCGGCTGCCGTGGTCTCTTCATTTCATTGCAATTTGTTCGGCTTCTGTCATGGCCTGCGCGCGCTGCAAAAATACATTGAAGTTGTGTCAATCAACAAAAGGCAGCAACAACGCCAAACGGCAAGGAGCAATAGAGTTCTAAAGTGATGACGTCACAAAAATCTATTTTTAGAATTTTTTAATTTGGATCCCATAACCTGAAAGGGCATCATGAAATACCTCTAAATGTGCAAAAACAGGCAAGTGTGTTGCGAATTGGCAGAGATATGGCCACATGTTTATTGGTTCTCTCCTCATCAAACCTCTGTATTTTGGTCTCTGTTCATAACTTTATGAACAGAGCCAAAATAACAGTGATTCGTTAGCAAACTTCAAATCTCTCATTAGCCATATCTCAACTGATTTCAGACGTATTTGGCCAATTTTGCATACTTGAAAGTATTTCATGGTGATCTTTTACGCTATGTGGTTAAAATTCAAAAATTCTAAAAATAGGTTCTTGATGACGTCACACTTAAAAACTCTGTTCAGTGTAGTCAATAGAAAGTCAAATCATAGTCAATAGAAAAACTCAGAGAAAACCAGAGTTTTTTCTATTGACTATGGTGAAATAGTGGGATATAATAAACCAAAGGTTTCAAAAGATTATCTAATTCACCGGGAGAGGCGGGCAGGCTTTTCGCTTGCCTTTTCTTAAAACAATTTGCAATGGAGGCTGGCAACTTCAGGGGTCATATTGGTCCAATCGGAGTCATTTCGGCCTGGGAGTCATATTGGTCTGGAGGGTTTTATTGGTCCGGAACAGTATCATTGCAGTACATTCCTAAAATAGCTGCTTTTGCTACGTTGAGGTAGGATGCAAACATGCAAACATCTGTCAACATGTGTCTTTTATATTGAAGAATAATTGTCTCGTTGTGTTTCTGTAACTGGGGTGTAAATTTTTATCTGGAGTTAACGATACTAAAACTAATGCACGGTAAATTATAGGAACTTCAAAGTGGCCCATTTCCGCCTATCTACGCTTTGTTTTGTAAGAACAGTGAGTCGAATCAAATTACTTCTGAAAATATTGCACTAGACCTGACCAATAGACCTGACCGAATATCTTGGTGATTATTTTCATAATTTCTATAATTTTGATTTTTCTTTTATTTCATGATTTTTGCGATTAAATGATTATGGCTGCTTTTAACTGAAGTTCAAGAGGTGCTGCAAGGATATCGACTTTGATTTTTAACTTTTTCTCTAGATTTAATTATTGTAAGAACTTTTTAAACTATATTGTTGTAACATTTATATCGTAGGTACATTAGTTTCACAGGTTGATAGCAGCAAACTCGTTTTTGCTGAACAAGTTTATCTGTATAAATATGGTCTTGTTATTATTATTATTATTATAATTTTACTTCCAACAAACTTCACATTATTGAGTCTACTTCCAACAAACTTCACAAAGCATGTATGGAATCGTGATAATAACCCTTCTTGCCCCTTTTGCCATCAGCACACGGAAAGTGTCGCACATCTGATGAATGGATGTAGAGAGTTTCACAACTTTTATAGTCGACGTCACAATCGAATTGCTGACAAAATATTTGAGGTGATCTCAGGAAGTATAAGTGGTTTCCAGTTTCATGCAAACAAACTTGCAGAATCAATAATAACGGAATATGGCGATGAAATACAGTGTATTACGCATCGTAAACCTGACATCATTATCATTGACAATCAGTCACGTAAATGCATTATCTTAGAGGTGACTGTCTGCTACGATCTGTATTTTGAGCAAGCACTGAACACCAAAGAGAAACGGTATCAGCCGCTATGCAGTCTGCTGCAGTCGTTAGGTTGGGAGGTGGATCTGAAAGTGCTTTGCTTTGGCTCTCTTGGTTGCATAAAAAAGGATGTTTGGACTGTTATGAGATCATTGTCAGTAGATAAGTTGATTGTAAAGAGCACATTACAGTGGTGCTCGATATCAAATTTGATAATGGCCAACTATATATGGAGACACCGGGTTAAGAAGTTGTTCATGTGAATCTATTTTCTCTCTTGGCCCTTGCGTATGATCAGATACAATAAGTTCTATATTACATTTTCACATTGGATGATTTCTAAATCTTGTGTCTCACAGTTTATATGAAGTTATTATGTATGTAGTGGATAACACAAGCCTAGTAAACATACCTTTCATGTTAACTGAGCTTTTAGCTCGGACACTAGGGCAAATACGAATATTATTATTTTTGGTTACATCGTTCAAATTAGCCAATCAGTGAACGTGATTCATGTCACGCGTATTGATTGGCTAATATTGGTTGACAGATGGCTTAAGACACGTGACTTTGTCGGTTGTTTTTAACAATTTGGTTAATCTTTCTACCCAGCGGGCTATTTTGAGGCCATCTTCACAGATTTATCCTGCATACATTGAAAAGTAGGACACAATAAAATCTTGATTATTTTTTGTTACTTTTTTAGGTTTCCTTGTACACGATTTTTGTTTTATAAAAATATAGATCAGCACTCAGTGCTATCGGGAAGCATTTACTGGCAAACCCAGATTGTGCAAAAAACTATAATGGCGACATGTTTCGGATTATTGGTAAAGCCCGATCGTCATTCCATCTAGCAGTTTTAGAATCTATCTACATAAGCACGAAAAAACCTTTACTGTGTAGACAAAAGGAGTTCGTTTTCACCTTAAGACTCCATTGGTAGCATTCTCAATAGGCAAGCGGCACTTATTGGTCAACCTATACAGTTATGTGCTCGTGTTTTCTGATTGGTCTATTTCGATCCACAACTGGGTATATATATTTCCTAGCGTAGAGTTTTCGGTCTATGTTCTGACGTTTTAAACTCTGAAGAGTGTCAGACCAAAAGCTTTAGTTTACTAAATGTTTGCTTTTTTCAAAGCCATTTTCACTAAGTACTTAAAGTTTCTTAATTTGCAATCCATATTTTGGCGTTTTAGTACTAAAAGTTTATTAGTTTGTTTCTTATTTCAGGGCCTAAAATTGCTTTATTGTTTTGAAGTTGATCATTTTCGGAAGAATAAAAACGCAGATCGTCACCAAAAACTCATGCAGATGAAAACCCAATTTATGCTATCTTTTTCAAAGAAAATCAACAAAATGAAAGCTTTTGGACTCTTTTAAAAATGGAAATTTTTCAGTTTTTTAATTTCTTTTTAGTCTAGCAATACAGTTTCTTAAATTTTTGTCTAATTTTCTTAAATGTCCAAGATTTGCCTGTAAAGACCAATAATTCTAAAGATCTACCAAATTGCTAAAGCCTATAATTTTTGGCTGTTTTTATACTCGAAGTTAAATGGTAGGTTGCATTTTGGATATGTAATAGGATCGGTAGGGTGGCGGAATTGATTTTTAAGTCGATAGCATCTTTGTGCCATGAATAATTCAAGGCCATCTTTTCACTTGAAGATCATTTTTTGCATAATCAAGAATTATCGCTGCGAATTTTTCGTGTCACACCTCTTCATCAGACCATTATCTCCGATTCACACTGACCTAACTGCATTTGAGTCGTGTCTTTTGGTAATTGCAATCGCTGGCTTGTCGGCTGGCTTTACCATTCATTTAGGCTGGTGTCGTTTTTTCTTACAACTTGCCTCACAATAGCGGTTCCGTTTTGTTGGCCAACGGCACCGTTTAAAATCTCATTTCTGTGTTGTGCACTTGCAACGTTTGCCTGATGTTGAAATCAGTTTTACTTCAGGCCTTGATTACACAGGTGTAATGCCTGAGGTATTTCCATGGCCATTGCACCGTGTAACATCGATTTTTACAACTTCTGTTGCAATCTTAGCCTTGGCGCCATTTACAAACTTTCCCCAGTCTCCAACACAGCTGCCCGGCCTCAATCGTTGCAAATTTCAGAGATTGTTACTGCGTGTAACACATTCCACTAAACTCTTTGCAGCCCTTTCAGTTTCATTGCGAAAAAGCATGCAAGAAAAACTGAGTCGTTTAAAAATGCTGACTCAAGCTACTTCGAGAAAATATTTTGTCCAGGCTTAGGTTCAGCCAGATGTTTTTGCCCTAGTGAATGAGATTTTTTAAGACATAACAATGTAAAATATTTTACAATGTGGTTAAGTTAACATTAACCCCAAGTCAATATCACAAAATCCTGTCAGTATAGAAATGTGCCCTACTTCGACGTAAGATTTGGTGTCATCATTTCATGGTAGCTATTTCATTTATTAAAGCAATAAATAATTGGAACATTTATCCGGTCAATCTTTCATCAGCTCGTACATTCTATCATTTAGGCATTAATTTTCTCATTCATTCATTTATTCATTCATTCATTCATTCTTTCATTCATTCACTCGTGCATTCATTCAACTACTCGTTTAGCCATTCATCGGTTACACATACGTTGATTCTCTTGTCAATTTAACAAGAAATTAATTTTGTTATTTGCTCATGTGACGGTTTTCAACATTCAAGTCTCGCCTCTGTGTTGGCCAAATGTCTCATCTTGGAAAACCTGTGTATCACCTGGTATCAGAGAATGTTACAATGTTTCTTTTATATGAACCAATTTTTTTGAAAATAAAACAAGCACAAGCTGAGATGCGAGATTGAAGTTCTGTGAAATTTAAGAATGCAAAAACATCGTAAGAACATTTGTGCATATCATACATCGTACATGTTAGGGAATATATTCTAGTGTTGTTAAAGACAATTTTTGCCTTAGACGCACCCAATGTTGTTCTGTAGTAAAAATTTTTCTTGCGGACAAATTTCTTCAATTGGCACCTTTATGACTGAAGACCAGAAAAAGAACAATCCAGCCTAAAAAATTAAACGAAAGCGAGTGTTTAACAAATTTATGAATTGTTTTCTGGTTGAAGTTATCGTAAACAGAATGGAGAAGTGTCAACGTCATTAACATCTGTTTTTACAAACTTTTAACTTGGCCACTTGAGCAGAAACAGCATGGTAAAATACCTTTACCTGTGCAATATCAGTTGGATCTGTTGGAAATTGGCTTACATACAATCAGTTAAGGTTTTGCTGTCTGATATTATTATTTTGGCCCTGTTCGTTAGTTTTAGAACCAGGTCCAAATAAAAATGCTTTGACTGGGCAAGAACCTGTGCTTATGTCACAATATCTCCAGCATTCTGTAACATATCCTAATGACTTTATTCATTTAAAGATACTTTATGGCATTCTTTCCAGTCGTGTGAGCAAAGTTTAAGTAATATATAAATTTATCATAGGTTTTCATCAGCAACGTCGCAAGAGCTTATGAAAAGAGCGTAGTTGAAATATATATTTGCCTGCGTTTGTGTGTATGGTAATAAGAAGATACTAGGCCAACATTTTTGTGGGTTTTTATTCTTTTCACGTGCCTAACATAAAGCATGAGAATTATTAATGAGTGCTTGCAATTTTTCCTTTTAAAACGAGGCATCAATTGCTGTTGTCATGAATAAACAATTAATTATTAAGATCACGCAAAACTTCATTCTACCTGTATGTGTTTATGTTTTCTGCATATTCCTACCCCCTGCACGATAAATCCTTTTTTCTGAATGACGTAATTCTGTGATCGTTATTAGGCCCACTTATTGGATATCGCATTTATCTTGTTAATATGTATGATGCGATAACCAATTCATCCAATTTGCTATTTTGTCAATAATATAATTGTCGATTCTCTTTGTAAGAGGTTCATAGTGCTATAAGTTTTCCGCTTAGAGTATATATTCTGGGTTTTTTTTAGTGACAACTAGCAATCCTATTTGCACAGCCATCCCTTAAGTACCCTGGGTACCAAAGCCTCGTATATCGGGCAGAGGAATTGCAAAGGAGAACGGGAAAGGAAACTCAATCCATCTTCTCACTTCGGCAGACTCTAAGTAAATGTTTCAGAAATTTTTTATAAATGTTGTATGTTCTATTTTATTGGGGAGTTTAATGAGTCTCAGCTAAAAACAAGCTAAATTATCCCATTTGAATTATTCCATCCCCACCTTTGCCATGAAAAACAATTTTTCTACGATAAATGCAAATTGCTAGGACTATATGGAAAGTGTTAAGAACAGCCTTCATTGTTTTTACTTGCCACGATGTTGCTTGCTTCTATGAAGTCAAAATCTAGACCAATTTGGAAAAAAGGAGGTCTAAAAATTTAACTTTTTAATAACTTTGCCAACACGCTTATCTTATTCATATTCAGAATTTTTATTCTTCTACGATCGCAATAGCTATTAGATAGGGGCTTTTGTAACATGCTGGCTTGGGAGCAACTGCCCCTCCTTTCCTAGTGACTATTCTTTTAACAGACTTGTCCCCCACCCCCATTTTTTGAAACAAGGGATTTTCCCCCCGCTGTGTCACTCTGAAAAGGCCATTGTGAGATTGTGTTCGATTGTCCTAGATAAATGTTAAATTTTCCACTAACCCTCCGTTTGATAAGCCTCAACCTTTGTATAACTGTCAACATGCCTGTATATGGATTGCGGTCTTCACGCTTTGCTTTAGGCCAATTTTGCCAACCTTTCCGGTTAGAACCAATCTATCCTACGCGTATTTCTTTGTGCTGTTTTTTCTCTTTATCTCAGCATCTCATTTTATAAGCACTAGCATAGTTGTTTAGAAAAGTTGTTATGCAGTGGCGTAGCCAGTCAAAATGCTCTGGTCATGCCCGCCAACCAAATTCTGAATAATATGGGTGTGGCCAAATTCTGCCACGCCTAATTTTCGAGCTATTGAATTCCCTTTAAACAAAAAGTTAAAGGCTTGCAATAACAAATATTGATAATCCTTTGGAATGAGCTTTTCTTATTATTAAGCAATTGTCTTGTTACATCATGAAATGACCTTGTATCTTGTAGCTGTGACACTGTTTTGGTTTGTTGGTAAATTCTATAGACAGCTCTGACAATAACCAAACAGAATTGTAGGAAAGATTGAAAAGATAAGTTCACTGTAGTAGATATAGTTAATTTAGATCAGAAAAAGTGTTCTTCCCCTAATTTCTTTCAAATTGGGGGTTTAAATTCATTTGTAAATTTAGAGGTAAGCTCAAATTTATAAATGAAACAATGAATCACACAAAACACCTCTCGTTACATGAAGTATTTACGCAACATAATAATAAGTAAAAATCACAACAATGCTTCCCCTCTAGTACTCTATGTCGGAAATTAAAAACTAAACGACAAACGTGAAAAGCTAACATTTTATCAAGTCACTTTTCCGTTTTTATCATCTCATCAAGGTAGATGGTATTACAGTTTTATGTCGACGAAATGGTATTCGTTATCGCTTTGAACCTCTAGGCGAAACTTTATCGTTATTCTCTACCTCTTCATCTTGGTTCTTTTCATTGTTCTTTGAATCCCTGTGTTCGCTAACTGCATCTTCGTCATTTTCTATCAACGTTTAATAATGTGGTGTTTTCTTTGAATGTGATATGTTTTTTGAGTGATATGACATTTGTTTTTTGCTACAATTCTTTTTTCTTTCATCTGGAAGACAGTGAAACGCACTGGAATAAACTTTGTTTGTTATGTTATCTTGTTTCTTTCTCTTGCAGGCAAATAGCAATGTCTTCTTCTTTAATATCAGATTACTTTACCTTGAGTCTTTTATCATAGTAGTCTTTGTTTTTTATTTACTTTCCTCTATGTTTTATTTCGCTTCCTTGTGCTTGTTTATCACTTTCTTTGATGACAATTCAGGTAAGAATCCTCTGATCTTTCTATTATATAAATGTTCACCGGGTACGATCTTCGTTGTTGTATGAGGTGTCGTTTTGTAGAAAAGTAAGAATCGTTAGAGTTCTTGTGTCCAGTTCTCTCTTCTAAATTTGCTCTGCATCACTTTTGATAACGTCTTTTTGAAGCTAAGACGTTAAGCGTCAATTCGTACACGATACCAAGGTATGTTTTCAGTTGATGTTGTCTGCTTTGGCCCAACTGATATACTTGCTCCTACTGCTTGGCAAGAACTATATCTTGAACTTTTTGGCTCATGTTTGGGTACCAAATCTTTTCCCATACAAACTCTTGGTTTTTTCAATACCTTGATGGCCTATGTGTGCTAGCTGAATTGCATTGTCTTGTAAGACTTCTTTGATTATAATTCGGTTGCCTTTCATTAGGATATCTTTTGCTTTATTGCTTGTAATTTCTTCCATACATTTTTTAAGGCTGGTTTTCTTTTTCTTTGTCCCATTTTCATGTATCTAAAGCTTTCTTACGTTTTTGTAGCACGCTGTCTTTCTTTGTTTCTTTTTGTATCTCTTCTAATGACATCCAGAAATTCGGAACTGCATGCTCTATTACATAATTGACATATTTTTCTGTTTTGCACTTTTCTGAACTTTATGTGATGGTAAAAACTATCGGACGTCGACGCAGGCAATCAGCCTCTTTTGAACTCATCTTTCAAATAACGTTATATGGTTGTTGTCTCATAATCCATCTCTTTATACGTGCTGGAGGTTTCGATCTTGGATTGTTAAAAATAGCCTCCAGTGTCTCGTTGTCAGTAATGACATCAAAATCTGTAGCCATTAAGAAAAGTCGAAGATTCTCTACTACCCAAACTAGTGCAAGGTGCTTGAGTTAGCTTTTGTTTTAGCAGTTCGTTCTCCTTGTTCGACCAATATCCACTTGAAATTGATGTCTTTCTTTATTAACTCGCGCAATGGTAACGTTAGAAATAACATAATTAGGAATGTAATCACTGCATGTATTTGCCATTCCTAAGAAGCTCCGTACTTCTGAAACATTCTGTGGAGGTGCAACTTTTTGAAGCTTAGAAACTCTTTCAGGATCGGGTCTTGTACCTTTTTCAGCGAATATCAGACAATAGAATTTCACTTCTGCTTTTAGAAAGCTGCATTTTGATTCATTCATTGGGTTCGGTGACAAGTTGTG